GTGATGAAAATATAGTGTAAATTGTAGGTTATCGAAGGAGGTTTAGAAGTCAAACTTCTGACAATATGGACAGATGAAAAGCAGAGACGGGAAGAGTCAGAGAGAAGAGAAGAGTAGAAGAGAGAAGATCAGCGAAGAGGAAGAGTCAGAAGAAAGAAGATCCAGGTGCGCGAAAAGGTAGGAAAGTCGCGAAACACTGTGTCTTTCCAATGATTTGTGGTTCCGGAGGGTTGAAGCGTAGGCTCGCTAAAGCGGCGGGTGCGGAGCCATCTGGCCAGATGAGAGATGAAAAATTGCACGCCGTTGTGGCGCGAAGCACATTTTGAAGTCAAGATGTGCAAAACGCACCAGCTTCGGACCACTTTTGGAAGTTGCGATGTCGAAAAAGTGCACGCAGTTGTGGCGCGAAGCACATTTCGAAGTCAAAATGTACAAAAGACCTCAGTATCGGACCACTTTTGGAAGTTGAGATGTTGAAAAAGCGCACGCAGTTGTGGCGCGAAGCACATGTCCAAGTCAAAATATAGAAAACACACCACGTTCAGTGCACTCTTGAAGGTTGAGATGTTTAAAAAGGGCACGTGGTAGTGGCGCGAAGCACATTTCCAAGTCAAAATGTACAAAAGACCTCAGTATCGGACCACTTTTGGAAGTTGACATGTTGAAAAAGTGCACGCTGTCGTGGCGCGAAGCACATTTCGAAGTCAAAATGTTAAAAACACCAGGGGTTTGGACCACTTTTAGACTTTCGCGTGGCAGGCGCAAGGGATTGTGGACCTTGTCAAAAGTGAGCAAAACATGAGGGTTTTGTAGCATTTCCAAAAACGATGGCAGGCGTGGGACATTTGAAGAGGATCTGGAAAGATGCAGCTGTTAGGAGGTCCGGGCGTTGATTTCCTGAGAGAGTTTGCATTTTGGAGCATCAGATCTTCAGGTTTGCTGAGATGATTTTGCGTGACAGGTGCAGCACTTCGTATGACCTGGCATCACTTTTTCGTGGCAGGCGCAGTAGTTTAGACAGATGGACTGGAATATCGCAGAACGCATTGGTACGAGGCGGTCAGCTCTGCACTCAACTTGCCATTTTTGAAGGAAGTCTCGCAGAATTGCTTCGTTTTTGACGTTGTCAAGTTCAAACATTGAGGAAGTCTCGCAGAATTGTTGCGTTTTTGATGTTGTCAAGTTCAAAACCTGAGGACGTCTCGCAGAATAGCTTCGTTTTCAAGCTTGCAGATAGACAGGTAGCTAGATAGACAGACAGACAGACAGAGAGAGAGAGAGAGAGAGAGATAGATAGATACATAGATAGGTAGATGGGGAGATAGGTCGATACATAGTTAGATAGACAGATGAGAGAGAGAGATAGATAGATAGATAGATAGGTAGATAGATACATAGATAGATAGATAAATAGATAGATAGATAGATAGATAGGATTAGATTAGATTAGATTAGATGAGATGAGATGAGATGAGATTAGATTAGATTGATTAGATTAGAGTAGATTAGATAGATAGATAGATAGGATGGATGGATGGATGGATGGATAGATAGATAGATAGCTAGATAGATAGATAGACAGATAGATAGATAGATAGATAGATAGGTAGATAGATAGATAGATAGGTAGATAGATAGATAGATAGACAGCTAGCTAGCTAACAAGCTAGCTAGGCAGATAGACAGATAGACAGATAGATAGATAGATAAATAAATAGAGAGACAGCTAGATAGATTGATAGATAGATAGATAGATAGGTAGATAGATAGATAGATAGATAGACAGATAGATAGATAGATAGATAAACAGATAGAGAGACAGCTAGATAGATTGATAGATAGATAGATAGGTAGATAGATAGATAAATAGATAGATAGGTAGATAGCTAGCTAGCTAGCTAGATAGATAGATAGATAGATCGATCGATCGGTCGATAGATAGAGAGACAGATAGATAGATAGATAGATAGATAGATAGATAGATAGATAGATAGATAGATAGAAAAGACAGCTAGATAGATACATAGATACATAAATAGATGAGGAAACCTCAAGCACCTTTTCAATCCATCAGTGGCTTCGCTCTGCCATCCGTGATTCACAACAACCAAGCTCTCCTATAGGTTTCTTATTTTTGAAACTTCTGCCACCGCCTTGTGCGGTACTAGTATTTCATATGTAGTATACATATAACACTATATATAGCACATACTGTATACACATATTTTAATATGTATACATGTAAATACTATATATATATACGTATATATATATATATATTAGATCATATCATATTATATGTTTGACATATTATCTATTATATATATTATATAGTTTATATATTTTATATTTTGCATATATTTTATATATTTCACATATATTCTGTATTATATTCTATTATAATATATTATATCATAATCTATTATATTATATCATATCATATTATAATATATCATATTATATCATAATATTATTTTATATTATTTTTATACTATATACTACATCATTTTATATTATATTATATTATATTATATTATATTATATCATATTATTTTACACTATATTATGATTTATTATATTAAATATATATATATATATTAAATCAAATTATATTTTACTACGTATATTTAATATATTATATTATATCATATTATATTATATTATATCATATTGTATTATAGTAAATCAAATTGTATTATATTATATCATATTTTAAGAATCATAGATAATCATAGTATATTATATTGTATTAAACTATACTAAACTATATTATAGTAAATTAGTATATCATAGTATATTATATACGTAATTTACTATTTTATAATATTGTATACCGTATTATCAAAGTATGGTATCATGTCATCCTGATGAGTGATGATTCGTACACTTCAATGATCAAAAAAAGTCCTAGAGACATTCTATGAACGTCTATGAGACTGACCATTTTCTGGGGCCCAGCATTGCCTGGCGCAGTTGCTCCAGTTCCTTCAGATCCTGTTCCCTTTCCGGCGATCTCTGCACCTCCCATGGGGCCCTCTACAGGGCCCTCTTGGGCCCAAGGGATGTCAAAATGGCAGAAAAACGGGGTCGGATCATTTTCATGGAAGTTCAAGAAAAACAATTTGTGTGAGGGTGTCCAAGCAATCATGACATGCAACAAAAAGTGGCTTGATGGAAAAAGAATTGAAAAAGTGAGGAGTGATAAGTGATGGAATAAACAAAGTCATCCAGGTTGCTACCGCAGCTATCGTGCGCTATCGTCCTTTGCAAATCGGACGGCCGAGAGACCAAGGAGATATCAGCAACATGAAGCCCAGCGGCAGATCATTGGAATCATGTGGTCCTTATTAAAAACCATAAATTGATATAAATTGAGGTATTATCCCGCCATTCTTAGACCCACTCTCCCCAGGCGAGCAGAAGGTCCTTTCCATGCGGTCTACAATCGGTCTTCGGAGATACACAAAAGAAAATCTCATGGAATCTGGAACATATAACATCATATAACATCATATAACATCAAATAACATCAAATAACATAGGCTCCAAATGCCCCATTCCAAAATTGTCCACTGTGGGTTTTCCGGTCTTAAAGTTTCAAGTACAAACAAGTCAAGCATGCAGCATTCAGCATGTGGATTGGGATCAAGTGTGACGTATCAAGTCTACTTTGGCATGTGGGTTTGTCTGAAATTTGGGTATGCCCAGTTCTTGCCCACATCAACAAGAAAAATGGTGATTAACCATCTAATTTTGGGGTGCCCTATTTTCCGACAAACCTATATCGAGACTGCCGGCAATTACAACCGCCCAATGGCCTCTTGCACTTTCTGCAGTTCCTGCTGTTGAATCTGTTGACTTCTCTCCTTCAGAACACCAAAACATGCCCCGTTGATTGATTCCGGGGTCACGACGAATCTGGAAATTGTATAGAAAATTATAGAAATGAGGAATTCAGATTCGAATATGTTGGTGTCCTTCCATGAGAATCATGAGAATCCAAGCATATCGGGAGCAATTTCGAGCCAGGGCTCCCATGTACAGTATCCAGTTGATACCTCCCTGGTCAGGGTGGCGTTGTTACAGGGTTCCTTCTATTGCCCTAATAAATCTCGCCTTTTTGGAGAGTCTAACCACACTGAAGCTTCGGTTTGACCACAAAAAAAGGAATGCTAACTTTCAAGTGTTGACCCGTCCCAACAAATCCACCCAAGGGTCCCCCCGTGCTCAACCTCATTTGCAACTGGAACGCAGGTCCAACACCACCCCCAAGTCCTTCAACAGCGCTTCCAACTGCTCCTGAAGACAGGTGTTAAACCGTGAAACATTGTTCAACCATGTTCAACCGCTTTTCTGGCTTAAACTATGCCAAATTCGCCTCCAGTCTCGCACGCTCGCCATCATCGGCCTGTCGGAAGGGCCCTGAAAGAATGGAAATCATCAATGAACACGGGCAAATCATGGCAAATCGCCAATCTAGTTAGTTCGGGAGATCACCAAAAACACGGCAGAAAAACCAGGCGCAATGCATCGTGACTGATGGTTCAAGATGGTGCATTGCTTGCAGGAGCAACCCGTTGATTTTCTGGGGGGGCAATGGGCCCTTCGCCTCTTGATTTTTTGTGGAATTATCGACATACTAGCTGAACCATCCGTGACCCCTTGGCTCCGCCAATGACTATGGCTGGATAGAGAAACCTTCCAGGTACAGGCCTGAACCTCTTTGTCCTCCCGCGACTTTGCACGGCTCCTGGGCGTTTTTCGAGGGCTTTGTAGAAGAGAATCAACCACTGCTCCACAGAAGCAGAGTTCATTGACCTGAAGGCTATTTGGGTAAGTCATTTGAAGTCACTCCAAGTTGGGCCGGAGCCTTTCAGCCTCCGGGTACAACTCAGTTGTGCGTCGGGCCAAAAAACATTCCCAAAAGGATAAATTTCACCAAGTCACTGGTCCCTTCAGTGTCCCATCACCAACCATCATGCCAGCAGAAGTTCTTTCTTCGCAGCTGTCGCTTTGTCATCGATGGCATCTTTGGCCATTCGGAAAACACCAAAACAAATTGTCAAATCGAGGCCACTTGTTCTGTGACCTCGGCTCAGTAGCATCCACATCTATTGCTTGTAGACCTATTGGTAGCCCTTTCGACTTGGAGTAAGTTAGGGAATATACACCAGGTGCTATATTTTTTTGCAATGTGGTACTGTAAACCCAATCATCAACCCGTCGATTCTTTAGATACACCCCACAGAGTAAAACTGGTACCATCTACGGCCCAGGCCATGCGCCAGAAGGAGCCCTTGCGAGCCATAAGTTCCTGTTGAAAGGTGACAGAACCACCGGAGATGTGTGGTGAGAATTCCAAGATTCTGAAATAAAAGCGGTCAAAGAAGAGTGGTGAAGTGGTAGCAAAACCCATGAAAATCATGAAATATCATGAAATATCATGAAATGCTCTTGAAACCCCAAAACAAACATAGATCAAAAGACTGGTTCCGAATCAATCTCTGGTTCTGAAGGGTGATGTCCTCCGTTATTTCCATCAAGCACCAGGGATTTTGGGCGAATGAGTAGAACCATGCTGCAATCAGCACAAGAAGTTAGGGACGTAAACCCCAGCCCATTTTGGCAATACATGCCCATATTCATCAAAACTTACTATGCCACCCCCCCCTTCCGTGCCTCATGGGTTCCGTTCTCCGCTACCACGCCCTTCTCCAACACAACAATCTGCTCGGCATCCTGTGCCGTTTAAACATATTCAAGCACTCTCAAACGTTGTTTCTAGGCGAAAGGCTTGAAAGGTTGCAAGTTTGTTGGTGGTTTCAACCCCTGAAACAAAGAATACATACCAGTAGAGCCCGGGCAAGCCGGGTGACGGAAGTTTCGAAAGGGAGGGAAACTTATCAAGTAAAGAAAAGGGAGAGCCAATAGGAACGACGCCTGACCACCTGGTTGTCAGAGCCGTTGACTCCGTGATCTCTTGGAGCTCTTTGCCCTTGACATTTCTTTCTCTCGGCATCTTTTTCTAATGCTGCCACTTTCTTTTGATCTGGTTTGCTCCTGGCATCTCCGAACCTTGACAGTTCCTCCTGTTGACAGCTTTGAAACCGGAACCTGACACACTCTTCTCTCCTGACAAACGTTTTTCTCTACTCTCGTCACTTCCCTACTCTCTTCATTTCCCAAATCTCTTCACTTCTCTAATCTCTTCACGTCTCTAGTGTCTTCACGCCCCCACTCTCTTCACTTCTCTACTCTTTCACTCGTCCCATCACTACTCTCTGCATTTCTCTATAAACTCTTTTCATTTTTCATTTCCCTAGTCTTTTAATGTCCCTACTCTGTTCACTTTCCTCATTTCTTCATGTCGTCCCTACTCTCTTCAGTTCCCCAATCTCTTCACGGCCGCATTGTGTTCATTTCTCTACTTTTTTCTCTTTCACTTCCGTTCTCTTTGCACTTCTCTACTCTTTGCACTCTTCGCTTCCCTAGTCTCTTCACTTCCCTATTGTTTTTATTTAGCCATTGTCTGTTCAAATGCCATTTTTTGGGGGTACTGTCCTTCCAAGGGGTGACTAACCACAAAAACACCCCATCCCACACCTTCACAGTCGAAAGCCGATGTGCGATGACCTCAATGACTGGGGAAGTTTTCTCTGCCCAGATTACCAGAGGGCGTGTCAAAGAACTTATCATCATCCAAAATCTGCAAAAGTAGGACATGTGTTTGCCAGGAGAAAAGAATGCTTAGGGGCATCCTCCCACCCTAGGAATGGAGATTGTGATTTGATGAGACCAACAAAAATGGGGATCACAATCGAGAGTTTGGTGGGCCCTTGGAGAACAATACTGCAAAACACCGTCCATTCCGGCTGACTTCTTGGAATCCTCCTGCAATTAGTCTGTCAAACAACACCCCTGGTGAAATCCACATTTCTTCGACAAATGGTCCCAAAAATCATCCTAAAATCATCGCAAATCATCCCCAAATCATCCCACCTCCATCCAAACCATCCAAACCATATCCAAAGCCCATTCAACATTCCATAAACGTCCCAACATTCTTCCCTCTTTTCGCCCGAAAACCACGGCCCCCGACCAGCACCGTCCGGCGCCGCGCCAGGCGCGGCGACCACTGCGCCTCCCTCAGGGCGCGGGAGACCAACCTGTGGCCATGAGTTCACCATGTTTTGGGCTGGAAAATCTGTGGATCTGTGGGGAATCTATGGGGATTTTGTAAAGATCTAATATGATTTAATGGGATATGACAAACTAGGTGCACGGCTTACATTTCGCCGTGAGTCAAAGTGATGTTTTGAGGATGTCCATGTCGTGCTGAAATCATCGCAATTCCATGGGTTTTCTCTGTGTCGTCTGAATGTCCGCAAAAACTCGTTTTTTCTCTTCTGCAAAATGCGAGTAAACTACTGCGGTCTTCACCAAATTTTGGTCAGCTGCCGCAAAAAAGTCTTTACGGTCAAGTGGCCCAAGTTCTTTCGCCAAGCCCACGCGTGGACTTGGTGTGCGAAAAAGGCCTGAGGGACTTTGTGGATTTTTCATCAACTTCTTTGTGGGTAGGTAATGCTTCAGGGCCTTCCAGGTGCAATCCACACACTGCGTACCCGCCAGCGTCGACATTGTTTTTTGTCGATGCTGCACGGGCAGCGGACGGGTGATTTCTTTAACCTGGCGAACAACTTCTTGATTTCCAATGCTGTTCTTTGCACAGAGACTGCGCCAGGCCATGTGACCATCGCTGAAGACACAAGCGGCTCGTTTTTGAATGTGCTTAAAAAATTTCACATTCTTGGACCTGATGCAAGTTCTCTGTCGGGGGACGCGTTCCTGGACAGGATACAACTGGAGTGGGCAAAGCTACATATGTCTCGTGCTCTCCGCGCACCACCCCGCCCAGTGCCATCACATGCACTTGGAGACTCTTTGGCATCTTGACGTTTCTGTCGTTTTTCTTGCGAACATTGTTTTTGACTTTTTCAATTTGAGAAGCAAACTGACGATTGCTGCCTTTGATCCAAAACCTTCCTAGGTATGTGCCATCAACTTGCACATTTCCTGCAAGAGTCATCCGTTCTCGGATGCGCACGTAAGCATCACACTCAGCGCGTTGCAAAGCTCTCACAAAATGCATGGTGAGGATTCTTCCAACACCGGCCATTCTGCAGAGATCTTGTAGGCGAGGAACATGTGTCAGGTCTAACTTCACGTATCTGAGAATCATTGTGACCAAGGAAATAAAACTTGTCCGCGATCCCGAAAAGAGGCTGGTTGACATCAAGGATTCACCTGCAGTGCACTACTTTAAAAGTCAAACTTGTACTGCATGTGCGAAAAATACAGTTTAATTTCATCTGAATTACGGATGCCACAAGCCAAACATCGATAGTGAGGAGAGTCATGCCCTTGAGGCCATATGAGGTCTGACCACTTCTTGGAGGAACAACCCTTACACTTGCCAGGAGGTTTGAAGACATGTTAAGGTATGTGTAGCGCAATAGAACTTCCAAGTTACTTTGACATGTGTTGTCTACGTAGTACCAAGGACGTGGTCGTCAGGACGTTAATACTGCCCCCACCCCACCCCACATCATCAACGTAGCATCAAGGGCGTCTTCCAAGTTATTTTGACAGGTGTTGTCTACGTAGTATCACACACGTGGTCGTCAGGACCTTAATACACTCCCCCACCCCACCCCACCCCAGCGTAACCCCTCGAATGGTCAAAAAATGCATATTTGACCACGGCGAATTTGGAGCAGTGGTCCAACTACATTGACATCAGACTTAACTATATCAAGAATGGGAAGAGCAGTCCCCCATTCTATGGTCCCAATAATGTGGAAATTCTCTAAACTAGGGTTTATTGGGAGGTGCTTAGTATTTGGGGGATGGGATTAAATGTCAGATTTGTTTGGGGGTGAAAATCTATAGAGCTTCCTGATGTCACCATGTTCAACCTTTCGAGTGAGGGTGGGTGGTATATAGTTGGGCCACGGCCTTTAGACGGCCGTGGTGTTTTGTTGGGGTGGGGTGGGGCATGTATTCATGGGTAGGGGGTGGGGTGGGGTTGGGCACGTATTTATTAACGTTCATGTGAACTTGCACATGAAAGAGATGCTACGCTGTGGCTGTCGGTTGGGGCATGTATTCGTGGGTGGGGAGTGGGGTGGGGTGGGGTGGGGTGGGGCATGTATTAAGGTTCATGTGAACTTGCACATGAAGTAGATGCTACGCTGTGGCTGTCGGTTGTGGCTGTCGGTTTTGAAATTCAAAGAGCGTGGACATTCCAATTTGCACCCCTCCGTGACACAATATGTGTTTATGTGGTGCTGGCGATCAAGTTTGCAGAATCCAGATCCTAAAAGGTTCTTGGAAGAACTTGAAGCGCTGGTGTGAACAAAAAACTGCCAAAAATTGTGAGAATGAATTAGTTGGGGGCTTTGAAGAAAACCCCAAAATGGAGGTTTTGTGTAGGCAAAATGACTGTTTTCATTTTTCTGCTTGGAACTAAGGCGCTCACGGCCTTCACACTAAAATCGCACGAATTCCTATTGGCACGAGCACATCAAACATGATCAACAACATCCCACGAATCAAAAAAACACACGCCATCTAAAGGCCGTGCTCCTAGTTGGTTTCTTCTGTTGGTGTGGTTTATGGTGGCTTCATTATTGTTATGATACTTAGGTCAATATTATTTGCAACCCTTGGGGGTTCCATATTTGTGTGTGTGTTATGAATGTTATGATGGGGTCCTTGTGTGTATTTGCAAGGAACCTTGCGTTGGGAATAGTTGCTACGGACCCATGAACCCAAATGTGGATACAGTAGTTTATATATTCGAAAGCCATGGGAATAGAAAAGCAAAAATGAATCCTTGATGCGGTCACCCCAGTGGGAACACTACCAGTGAAAAGCGTGCTTGTGATTGCAACCTACAAACATCAACCCTGCAAAGACTTTGCCCATAGCTGGCCAAGTGAGAAATGTGTACCTTGTCTAAATCAAGTGTTGGGATGATAGCTTGGGAATCGTGTGAAAAACAGGGGATTCGGATCATTCTTTCATATACTCAGATCATGTAGAAGCCACAAGTACGTTGGATCCGGAAATACGCCTGCTAGTAGATGGATCAAGGGCGCTCGTGGGCCTCAGGTCATCTCAGCTCCTGTTGTGGGTGATGATGGAACGTGTGTACCCTCCGGTGTCATCAAGCGTGGCTGGAAAATCCCCCATTGATGATGTTCCCAGCTAGAAACCAATTATGCACATGCAACTATTGATGCTTTTCCCAGCCATGAACCTCCAGTTAGTTGATGTGGCTATGGGCCTATTACATTACCATATTGGGGGAATAACCATTCATTAACCAGCTATTATAGATTATTATAGATTATTATAGGGTACTATCCGGGTACCATGGTTTTGACCCACCAAGTGACTCGTCCAAGATCAGGACGGGTGGATCCCGAAGCAAGGCGCGGGCAATGGCCAGGCGTTGCCGTTGTCCTTTGTGGGATACGCAATGGATTGGTTCAAGATGTTTTAAGGGAAACTTTGCAGATTTCGTTTGGAGAAGCCATGGTTTCCGGTGTTCAGATTTCCCCACAAAACCAATCCAATGAGATACCTCCCGAAGTCCCGTGGTTGATGATCATATTCCCTATTATTTGATGGCCATACGAATGTCACACCATGACATAGTGTGACATACCCCTTGGCCATCAAGTATCTCAGGGAAAATGTTCAGACACATCCTCTTGGGGGTTCAAAAGGTTGTCCCAAATCACCCTACTATTTATTTATATATTAAATTAACCGATGGTGGTTCAAAGCCATAATTCTTGACGGCTGTATCTACCATCACTCTTCGCCTCACCAGTCATCCCAAACATCATGGCTTCCAATAATTGGATATCCATTGGATATCCCTGTATGGTTGCTGGAGTCTCCCATTGATATCATCCCATTTGGTCAGGGTAAAACCACCATGTCACCATGTCTGATGGTATCATATCCATGTGCATCGCACATGTTGTACCCACCATCGCAAATCTCAACCCTGGATCAACAAACACCCAGTTTTAACGGGGTACCATAATTACAATGGCAATCTGTTATAACCTTTCATAATCTATATCACTATCTTGAGGAAAACTCCATCATGAAAAAAAGTTGTCTAAATCAACAATATTGACCCCCATATCCGTAACCTGGGGGTTACGATTAAAGCATAACGAAATCCACATGGACCATGGGCTCCTCCACTCAACAGCTTGCCATCGCCAATCTGCGTGTCGTAGCCTTTGGGCAGCTGCTGGATGAAGCCGTCAGCCTGTGAGATCTTGGCCGCCTGCCGATGGCAGAGATTTGAGCCGAAAGTCATGGGAGAATGATGATTAGTCGGAATACAACATATGGATACATAGGGAATGTGATATTCATATCTATATGTATATATATATATGTATATATATATACATATGAGATGTATAATATATATATATGATTATGTATATATATATATATATGTACAAATGATGTTTAATGGGAATAAACAATCGGTGGGAGATGGTGGGAGAAGATCAATAGGGAATTTGATAATAAAAGGTAATCAACTAGTGACTAATGCTAACACCTGATTCAACTAATTTCTCAAGGCTGGATACGAGAAAAAGAATGGCCAGATTGGTATAATTTACTGTATCATCTACCTACTAGTTTGAATGGGAGGAACTAAGCTAACCAAGTGCAAAAAGGAGATCTATGGAGGGGATATTGCGGGTGTGTATATATATATATATGTATGTATATCATATGTATATATAATCAGTTGATAATTCAACTCAAACAACAAATTCCTACAGGATTTAATTTGATTTGAAATGTCGGTGTGATATCAACCATGATGGGGATTTAACGAACAAGTCGACAATCCGGCGACAATAATTCAAATATCAATAAGTATATGGGGGATGGATATCTTTGCCCAACAAAAAGATACAAAAAGATCATATCAACAATAATGGATATATCAGATATATCTAACCGATGATCATGAGCTGTAACTGGACAATTGTATATCCTTTGGGGATATGATTCTGGGGTGGAATCCATTGTTTGATGGGCGTGAAGCTCCCAGGACATGGTCATCCCTACGGGGGAATGACTATCCATGACTATCCATGACTATCCCTGGCTTTGTGGGAAAATAAACCACACAAATTGACCATGGCACATACGTTAAATCTCCAGTTGGGGTTCTTTGCCACGCATTGCTGGAAATTTTGGAGTTGATCATTGGCTTCCCCACTAAGATGTTTTCGTATTGATGGTTGCTATCCCCACTAACATTCACTATTCATGGGTGAAATCCCTTTGTTTTCGTCATATGGGGGTTTCCATAAATGGGAAGACCCCAAAATGAAGGGTTTATGATGGAAAATCCCATTCAAATGGATGATTCTCCATCTGTTTTCCCATGTTTTCCACACCAGGGCGAAGTTTTACGGTGGACCCCCGGACCGTGCCTCCTTCACCTCTTCCAGGGACGCCGTCTCGCTGCCCCAGGCGATGTTCTCTGCCACCGTGCCGCGGAAGAAATGGGGCTCCTCAACCGAGGCCGGCAACCAAGCAGCGATTTCATGGAGGGGTTAGCCATGAAAACTGGTGGTTTCATATGGTTTCACCCTGAAAAATGAAGGTTTACCCTCTGGTGATCTGTTCCACTGAACTGGAAGCCATGGCTCATTTTGTTCGATGATAAAAAATGATGATTTACCTGATGGTGATTTTCCATAGCTACGTTCAATTACCAGTGGGTAAACGTGGTAAAATACTATAAACATCTATAAACCGTGATAGAGTCATAAGCCCAGGTCTGCGGTTGAATGTTCCCAAGCAGAGACCTGTTCGGGGAAATGGAGCCGTTGGCAAACTATGGCAAACTAACTAACTAACCAACTAACATACTTACTTACTTACTTACTTACTAACTCAACTAACTATCTAGCTAACTTACTTACTTAATTAACTTGACTTAACTCAACTCAACTCAACTCAACTCAACTAACTAACTAACTAGTTCGCAAATATCGCCAAGACAATTTCTCACAAATTTTATATCAGGTACATTCAGGTACCCTCAATAAAATAACTAACATAGCTACTGGCTACTAGTATGGAAAATCACTATGTTTGACAGCTAGATCATCGAGCTAAATGGCCATGTTCCAGAGCTACATTAGTTTCTCAGAGAGTAGTTCACCCCAATCATAAATGGAGTAAATAGGGGCTATAGTTGGTTTAAAAAAATAGTAAATCATCCCCAATTTTATCATAAATGGGTGCTTTAAAAAAAAAAAAAAATATGGGTGGCTTGTTGTTGCTTTAGTAAGATATCCTAATGTGGGTAAAACAATGTCATAAACCATCCCCCAGTGCTCGGCTCCTGTCCCACGATGCCCAGCTGCTCCCTCAGCCAGGAAGGATCGAAATCTTCCAGGCGAACGCCGTCCATGGTGACCTTCTGCCAGCAGTGATGGATATTTAAGTGATTGCAACTGGTGATCATTTGGACACTTTGCGGATTTAACACTTAAACTATTTCCCTGCAGGATTTGACCGCCCCAAGTCAGTTGGTAGATTTCACAATGGAGTGTAAAGTGTAGATTGTAAAGTGTGGATTGCGGATTTGAAATGTCAACGGTGCAATGTACAGTGTGGAGTATGAAGTGTGGAGTGTAGGATGTGGAGCGGAATGCGAAATGTTCAATGCAATAGTGGAAAGTGCGGAAGGTAGAGTGGGGAGGGTCGTGTCTAGAGTGGCAAGTTTCAACATCAATAAGTATCACCAAGTACTGCGCTTGCCATGCAAAATGTCACGAAAGGCGAAGGCAACATCGCGCCGCGCGCAGCTCTGCCACGCAATACGACACTCTCGCGATGTCACGTTGTCACCACTTGACGCAGCCCTGACATTGCGATTCGACACAACAACAACAACAACAACAACAACAACAACAACAACAACAACAACAACAACAACGACAACGACAACGACAACGACAACGACAACGACGACGACGACGACGACGACGACAACAACAACAACAACAACAACAACGACAACGACGACGACGACGACGACGACGACAACGACAATGACAAGAACACCAACACCAACAACCAACACCAACACCAGCAGCAACAACACCAACAACACCAACAACAACAACAACACCAACAACACCAACAACACCAGCGAATCGAGACGACACGTGTAGGAAGCCAAAAACGAGCATGTCGTACGAGACTTCCTCAAATGTTCACGCTTTGTCGACATGTTCCTACAAGTTTTGCGATGAACCCCAAAATCTGCTACATCAAAATCGATGTTTCTTGCAAGGCTTCCGTCAATTTTCATCACATGTACCAAAATAGAACAAAACACGCAACACGACACGTCTAAAGTGCTGTCCCTGCCACGCAAAAAAAGAATATCTAAGATGGAGGTCTTCAAAGTGCTGCACCTGCCACGAAAAATGCACCTCATCTCCTGAAAATCATCTCAAAAGTATTCAGCCTGTCACACAAAATGACTTTCGACGAGCTATGAAACATGTTGCAATGTCACGAAGTTCCAAGTTCCACGCCTGCCACACGAAACGAGGATACGCGATGTTTGAAACAATGATCACTTTTACAGCAGTGGCTATAGGCACGGCCATAGGGTACCACTTGCGGTCGTGCTGCGGACGGTTGCGGACGGTTGCGGACGGTTGCGGACGGTTGCGAACGCAAACGCGACGTCGAGCGAACGCTTCTCCACCCCAAGATCCCCAAAAGTAAAACGAGAGCCCTTCGCTGCACTCGGGATAAAGATTGAGAAAAAAACGCATTTTCTTCAGATTAATTCGTCCAGACCGTCAGCAAATATGGTGGACAGCACCAGGTTTAAGATCGAACTGGCGCAACCCCATGACTGACTAGTCAAGAAGTGACTAAGCATGGCTGTCAGATGATGCATGAGGTGAGCCTGTCCGCTCTGCACGCTGTAGAAGCTCTGGATCAGATTGATCAGCGAACTCCTCAGCCACCAGGCCCGGAAAACCACCAATGGATGCCAATGTCATCCCAGTTCAAAAAAAGTTGCCAAGAAAACTGAAACGCGTAAATAGGGGGTTCCTGTGGTCCTTGGTATTTTGGTTTTTGTTGGACATGGACAAGCTTACCACTGCCAAGCAGCTTCCCCGAACCACTGGTTCCCACCAGTGCAGTCATCTCGCCTGCTCGACAGTGAATCGTCACATCCTGCTGCATCAGCACGTGGACCATTCTACCCCGTAATCAAACATGTTCGGAAAGCCTATGGCAATGGAGGTGTTGAATGGTTGGATTACCAGAGGGTCTCCTTAGCTAGAAAGACCTGCCCATCTTTGTTCCTTCGTCATCCGTTTCTGTGGCTTCAACCGAATCTACACTTCTTTGTTGATTTTGATGACTTACCCATTAGTTTGATGTGTCATGATATGATTACATATCATTGCATATCTGCTTTCACCATATTCCCAATCATTTCATGGTGCATTTCTGGAATCTTGACTTAGCTACCTTGGATCACCGTGGTTCAATCGCTGGGTCCTTGAGGACCTGCCGCGAGGGTCGCATTGGATATGCAAAGGTCACGTGATCGAAGTGAATCTCCTGGGTAGCACTGGTGGTCATTTAATCAATGGCAGGGGTGGTGATTGAATCATCAAATATCATATATATATATAATACACACCCTCCGGCAATCAAACGTGGCAATTGAAAATCCACCATTTTATAGATGAGTTTCTCATTTAGAGCTCAATTTATAGGGGATTGTCCTGAGTAAGTGGATTTCAGTAAGAAACTTCAGAAATCTTCGGAATGTAAGCAACCAAATGGGGATTGATAGCCTCTGGCAATCAAATATGACCATGGAAACTCCCCATGTTCTCACTGGGACCCATCTGTAAATGGATATGTTCGTGGGACTGTCCACCGCACCGACCATCAAAACCCCTGCGAAATGAGATTTGAAGAGATTTGAACTTGCCATGGGGACATGGGACCGGACCATCATAATTTCTGAGACCTAGTTCAAGGAAGTTCAAGGCAACTTTAAATGTTAACATGTTGTGTCTCTACGCCACATGCTATCTAATGTTTATTGTTTCCTACATTTAGAAAATCTCATGTGGTCTGTTGAGGTCGCTACAAATAATCCAGATTCTGGGATGGGTGGCTTACATTGCCACGAGTGCGATAGAATGATCAAACGATAAGGCCTCAGGGGACAACATCCGAGATTTTTTGGATCCTGTAATGGGCGCCTGAAATGGCCAAAAAGGGTGATAAAACCCATCACAACAGGAATCATTTCCGTAACTGCCTTTGAAAGTGGAACATCCAAGCCATTCTTAGATGGTCCTATTAAAAGACGGGAGTGAAACTTCTATGTGACTTGCCATACCAGAAGAGTAAACCGCCAACAACTTATATACTGATGCCATCAAAAAGAGACCCTGTTTCACTGGGAAAATCATCATCGTCCATTGTCACTTTTTCAGTGTCCATCATGGTCCCCATAGAGTTGGTTGTGAAGTCATTTTGGTGGCATTGCAGTTATAAGTTGGTCTATATCATCCGTTTTCACGGTAGATATCTATAGATAATTATAGATACATCTACCATAGATTCTAGTTAGACTAGTTATAAACGTTTATAGCTAACTTAGCTAACTGTCTTCATGCTGCCCAGCATCTCCCGAGACGTGCCTCGGCAAACAAATGGAATCAACATCCATTGAGCTATCCAGTTTTTTGCCCCCCGAATATGGCTATTTTAGGGTACCTGGGATAAAAATGGCTACTTTAATCTACTTTATCTATTTTAGATTACCTGGGGTGCCAGGGATTTTGACTAGCCATATCAAAAACATGTGACCGTTCAGCCAGGGCACTTCAGCTGCCTGGTGCCAGCGGTTTTCAGCGCTTCGGCTTCGGCCAAGGTCTCCAAGACGTTGCTGCCAGCGCCCAGGGCCTCCATGGTGGCAGGCCAGTCCTGCCCAAACCACTGAGATGACCCTTGGTGAAGATGGGGATGAACCCATTCCTAGGTGAAATTGAGATGGTTTTGAGGATGCGAAAATAATGACTTATAGTAGCAATTCTGATGGGGAAAGCGAGGATTTCCACGTGCTTTCCATCTGATCTCAAAATACATGTCAAACATATTTCCTGTGACCCAAGATGGACTCTACACAAGTGGATTGGTTAGGACCAAATGGTTTAAGTTGTTTTTTGCATCTTTGGGACCCCCAATTTTCAGGCACCCCACAGAGACAGAATTCATGGCAGTTCCCAGCATGCAAGGTCCTCTCCCAAGTCGAGCACACCTGGAAGTCTGAAATGGGAATGTGTCAGGGTGCCCGCTCATGAAATAGGATGAATAGAACCGATGCGTTCACTCTAGTCTCACCCAAAAATCACCTGAAAATATGTTGCCATTCCTAAGACAGTCAGGCTTCAAAATTTCATCAATCATCCCACAAAAAAACATAAACACAACATCATTCCACATGGCTCCCAGCCCCCAACCTCTCAGCACCATATCCAGGTAGAACAGGAACTGCGTCAGCACCTCCCCGCTAATGCGCTGGCTCAGCGCGAAAAGGCCACCAGAAGCCAGGCCCAGGGCACGACAAATGCCTCGTCCAGGCCAGATATTCAATTGTTTTCACTCCATGATGAACCTAGTAATAATGATCATTGTCATCCTCATCGTCATCAACAACAGCAGCAGCAACGGCAACCGTCAACCGTCAACCGTTGTCAATCATCAACAACAGCAACAGCAACAACAACAGCCATCGAACCATCGACCAGCGAACCATCAACCACGAACCATTAACCATCAAACATCAGCCATGAACGCCAACCAAGGCTTGAAACTAGAAAAACACGGAAAAGAAAAAACCTTCAGCCAAAGGGCTGAAGGATGGATGGAGTTGCCCTTGAATAGATATGGAAGCTTGGGATGTGAAGACGGCGGTACCGGGGAAGACTAGTCCGTCGTCAGACTGGACATTCGTTGAAGAAGACTTGTAAAGTTTATAAAAACAAAATAGAATATTCAGATATAGAATTCATTTGTTGATATGGATGCGTTTCCCCCTTCTCCCCACGTGTCACATCTTCCAGCCGTTTCCATCTTTCCATCCCAGATGACCCTTCTCCGAGGTGGAGCTTCTGTCGAGCTTCCGCTCAGCGACGCATTTCCCAAGCAGAAGCCTCCGAGTGCATAGCCTGAGTGCCATGGCCGCAAAAACATAGAGCACCCATTTAAGAAAAATAAGCTTCGGTGGTATCCCCAACAGCCGCAACGTTTTATTTTTACAAATCTCTCTAAATCGTGCTGCGAAGCCAAGCGCTGGAAACACCTCAGCTGGGTTTCCGTAAGTTAAATGAAACTGACCTGGCTTGGTTTCTGCAACCTTCTCCGGAACCCGTTGAACCTGACTTGGCTTTTCACCAAGGCTTCCTGGAGCCTTCTCCGGAACCTTCTCCGGAACTCTGTTGAACCTGACCTGGCTCTGCACCAAAGCTTCCCGACCTTCTCCAGAACCTTCTCCGGAACCTTCTCCGGAACCTTCTCCGGAACCCTGTTGAACCTAACCTGGCTCTGCACCAAAGCCCCCCAGACCTTCTCCGGAGCCTTCTCCGGAACCTTGTTGAACCTGACCTGGCTCTGCAGACCTTCTCCGGAACCTTCTCCGGAACCCGGCTCTGCACCAAAGCCTTCCAGGCCTTCTCCGGAACCTTCTCCGGAACCCTGTTCAACCATGTTCAACCTGACCTGGCTGCACCAAAGCCTCCCCGACCTTCTCCAGAACCTTCTCCGGAACCATGTTGAATCTGACCTGGCTCTGCACCAAAGCCTCCTAGACCTTCTCCGGAGCCTTCTGCACCAAAGCCTGCTGAACCTTCGGAATCTTCTCCGGAACCTCGTTGATCCTGACCCGCGCCTGCACCAGTGCACACCGGATCTTTTCTGGGCTGAAGACCCCATTGGCTTACGCTGTTGGGGAAAAGTAGGATGGTCTGGGGAAACAAGCAGTGATGTTCACCAGCCACTGTGAACTTCAACAATTCCAACATCCTCCAACCAATCACAAAATCGCAGATTTGCGAACCAGGCACTATTTCGCTTTTGCACAGCCAGGATCCGCTGGTTCCTGAAAACACCAAGCGGTTTCAGCAGCTTCAGCGGCTTCCACTGACCAACAGAAAGCACAGCTACATCTGCAACACCCAGAAACACAAAAAAAAACCTTCCAAGTCAAGGCCACTTGCTGCAAAGTCATCTCCTGTCATCCCCATCGTAGAAAATCCAAGGCTCTGCTGGTGAAAGAGTCTTTCATGGGTCTCCTCAGGGATGGGTGTGCCATCCCTACAGCTATTCATTAGTTGACAGGAATTCCCCCCATGAACACACTGAACCTTCACATTCTACCAAGTGATCAAAGCCGTTAGACTCCGTTGGACCGCTACATTCATCCACAGTAGACACGAAATAATTGTGATTCCATCCCCGTCACAGCAATATGTGATACATCTTGAAGAAACACACCTATATGATGTGTATGCATATATGTGCATACAGTATATACACTGTGTATATACAGTGTATATATATATATATATATATGTATAAATCTGTATAAACCCCTAAAAAATAGTCAATAGATCCATACATTGTTGCCACAAAACACAACGGTGAGCTCACGCTGGGCTAAAAGCTCCACTCCTGGATACCCTGCAGGAAACTCAATGAGTTCATCTTCAACTGATTAGTATGTATGCATGCAACTTATATGCACATGTCCTCTGCAAAACAAAAAACACCTGATATCATGTTATCTATATCATATGTAGGTACTCTATATATATATACACACATTAGTTTTTAGTGTATGACAAAAAAGAACGTTGATCATATCAATAATAAGTTTAGCTATTGAATATTGAATATTGTGAGAAGGAAAAATAATGTCATAAGGAATGGCACCCTCCAGCAAATCAATGTGTTGACAGATTGTCAACAGATAATATAGATATATATATATATTATATATATATGAAAAATCGATAAGTCATAAATCAAAAATCCTACCGAAACTGTAGTGTTTCCCATATGCGCCATCGTCAAAACATGCGAAACATCGTAGGTATATGGATGTATATGGGGTGTGTTCATCCTACCATCGGGGGTTGCCTATAACGAGTATGTTAACCCCTATAGCCTTGAGAGTATTAATCAGAAGAAAACCATCCCCTTTTGTGACCAAAAAACGACTTTCACCATGGCACATGTGATCATTTTCCTAAGAAACACCATCAATTTCATGCCATAAACCTCCATTGATCAACATGTTTGTCGCATTTATAGATGATCGATTTTCCCTACAAAACCCTGATTTTTATCTCCACCCCACCCCACCCCAGGCGCTCCTCAGCACCAAGGGCACGCACTGTGCCGATGCCCAATAGCGACTCCTCAGCCACACGGCTCAGCTCGGCCACGGCGTCCTGCCACGAGATGTGGTTTTGATAAAATTTGATAAATACAAAATGCATCAAAATGTCAAAATGCCATGTCTGTTCATCAAAAGCCACGACCCGGCGCAGTCACCATCAGTCACCTATCTAGCCTATCAGTCATGCTCCTGCGTCTCTGCTGTGGTTGCGCGTCGCACCTGCCGCCAGCGTCAATGAAATCGCGCTGCTGTCCGTATCGTTCCATCAAAACAAAAGTTCTGTTGGGAAGAAGAACTACGATCCAGCCAAGGCATCTGTTTTGTTGATCCATACCCAGATTCACAGTAGATCATGTCTTAAAAATGTTTAAAGTACCCATAACTAGGGGTGGGAAATCAGAGACCATGGGGCCACTTTTAGAATTACAGTAGCTTGAGCCAGAATTCTATGTAGATTTCCAAATCATTTCAGGATGTCCCTTTGTCAATCTTTAGCATGGCTAGCCTCAAAGACACCCCGAACAAAAAAAATACTAGTGGCACGATATATATATATAATTATATATATATAATTATATATATATAATTATATATATATAATTATATATATACATATATTAGAGAGAGAGAGAGGGTTGTTTAAGCATATTTTCAATATAACACAGCATCGTCCTAGTCGTGCCCCCATCCTATATCCATAGTTGCAGGTCATGAAGGGTCGCTGACCTCCATTGATGGGCAGAAATTAACCATCAACCCACCACTCACCTTGCAGTTTCCCCAGGGCCTCTGCATAGCAGCGTGTGAGAAGCAGCAAAAGGGCGATCACCACAGTGGTGACCAGGGTCAGTTGCCAGCAGCAGCGGAGCATGGCCAGGTAGCCTGAGGGGATGTAAGCTCTGGGGATTCAACCAGTGGAGTCTCAACTGCCCTGGTTGAGACGGCATGATGGGGACATAGACCCACCAGACCAATCGTTGTCCGCCACATTTTGGGACCAGGGGACCCATATTTCAAACAGAGCTGGGCCTCATGTCGTTTCGAACGCGACAGAAATAGAGGCGTTAGACCCCTGTTGTGGGGCGAGGGGGTACATTTTTGCCAGACAGTTGAGAGCCCCATGATTGGAGAATCGGAAGATCGCCCCAACAGCTCATCATATTGTGTCACCTGTCCCTCACGGCACAATCGCAGGATCCAGGATGCCGAAAAATCCGACAAAAGAAAAACATCTCCATTTGAACTGTTCCAATGCCAGTATTTGATGGTTATTATATGTTATTATATGTTATTATATGTTATAGTTATAATTTTTATTCCCATACAATAATGACCCATTCCCACGCGTTTCTCTCCGCTCCGCAGGTTTTTTGGGCAAGCGACCGAAGAAGGTCACGGTGCCCGAGCGCAGCAAGAAATTCAGCACATCGTCCAAACTAGCGAAGACCTCGCCGGGCTCGTCACTGGCAAGTGGATCGGTGGGAAGATCTATTCTCTGACCACTGGGAAGTAGCTTCCTTTAGGAGAGCACCCCACATCACCCTTCTTCTTGGCCCCCTGACAAGTTGACAATCCGAGGTCAGGCGGGAACTGAGCTCTGCAGCATCCACCTTGCCAAATGGCTGGGGAGATCTCAGTTGGAGATGCTGAGCATCGTTGAGCCATGTTCAAATGACCTTCCTCGGGAGATTCTTAGCATCTTCATGGCGCCAAGTGCAGTGGCTGTCCTGGGGCTGTTTTCAGGTCTAAGATATAGAGTCCGCCATTACGTCCCAAAATCATTGAAAAGTCAGGCACCATTTGTGCGCATGTCCCATCTCTGGCCCCATCCATCCCCTTTGTCGGTATGCTTTTACCGGTGGTTAACATATCCTCTCGCCATTTTCCGCAGGTCAGTAATGCTGGAGTGCTGAATGTCTCGTTTCAACACGTTTCAACATCACCATCCGGTTGTTCCGGATCCAGGCCCCCAGCGATGAAATTCTCGATGCCCCCCGGCCCCACCTTGTCATAAAAACTCATGTCCTTTGACCTCAGAAACCAATTCTGGGCACCCAAACCCTGAGCCCAGAAAAAATGGAAAATCGGATAAAATCAGTTTCTTTTCCCAAGATTCCATGCTGTATCATCAAATCCATCTAAAATCATCTTTGGGAAAGAGGTTCCAGCTGAAAATTCGGGGGAAACAGCGACCCGCTGAAAAAACTCCTCCAGGCCCTCGCGCAGGTAGCACTGGAAGGCTTTCTGCCGCAGGGACCCGACGAAGCCCAAGCGTGCCAGGTGGAAGGCATAGCAACGGAGGCCGTTGCAAAGGGCCACCCCCAAGGCCTAGGTGCAGGGTCGCTTTCGATCGTTTTTTTGGCGGAAACAATAGGGATTTACCCACCAGAAAATGGTGGTGGAGGGAAAATCAACGGAATGTATAATATATAATCACCAATCATGTGGCAAACCACAGATAAATTGGGTTATATAATTATATCCAACAGCAAATAGGGATCTGATCTAACCTACCAAAAAAAAAGTGGAATATGCTGGAATCAATGGGATGAACCGAACACCGTAGACGGGTGATAACTAATTATTACCACCACCTGGTAGGTCCAAGCGGGTGACCCAGGGTGCCTTTAAATTCTAACCAGCCAAGTGTGTCATTTAGCATATTAAGTGTGAAGGAAATCCCATCTTAGACCAAAGCGAGCACCTGCCCCAGCGCCATGAAAGTGGAAAGCAGGACCCATGGGTCCCAACGGATGACAGTCCGTCGCGAAAGTTGTCTTGCTGCTCATCATGCCAAGGAGATTTCCGAACAGGTTTTCCCCTTGAAACTCCAGAACCACTCCAGAGGCACATCGATTTTCATCATGGACAAGGCCTTCCTAGACAGGGAGGCAAACAAAGCCAGCGGACACTGCGAGCCCATGATACATGAGCCAATCGCAGAGCTGAAGCTCAAGACGTCAGGGCTAAGGATCCCCGAACTCTCCAAGTGGATCCGCCCGACCGCACCCAGATCTTGGGGCGCAGACTGATCAAGTTGGAAAAAAAGGAGCAGTGCGCGTTGCCACTGTGAGGCTTTCTCACAAGACACCAGCGCAGCATTGTAGGTCAGGATGTTAGGTGAAACTTCTTCCGAGATCATCCGATCCAGCATATCCATGGCTAACCACCAGGGAGGCACCTGGCTTGCCATGCGGCTTGCCATGCGGCTTGCCATGCGGCTTGCCATGCGATCTGAATCCACAGTGGAGCTGAGGAGTGCGGTGTAGCTGATGACATTGGCTTCCAGGGACGCCGAGCCCATCAGCTCCAAACATGGCAGAGCCAGCTGCCAACGTAGTGCCTTTCCGAATGAGCGCAAGGCGGCGTTGAAGGTGACGACATTGGGACTGATGTCTGGGAATCTCGTCAACCTGACAGTTGAGCCCGTTTACCCTTACCGAAAAAGGACCAGCATCTCTGGTTCCTTTGTCTTGAATCCTGGCACAAGAAATTAATCATACCCATAACAAACATATACTTGTTGATTGCATGTGTATGTATGTATGTATGTATGTATGTATGTATGTATGTATGTATGTATGTATGTATGTATGTATGTATGTATGTAATGGTATGGTATGGTATGGTATGTAATGTAATGTAATGTAATGCAATGTTTGTATGTAATGTATGTATGTAATGTATGTATGCAATGTATGTATGTAATTGATGCATGTAATTGATGTAGGTATGTATGTATGTATGTATGTATGTATGTAATTAATGTATGTACGTATGTATGTATGTATGTATGTATGTATGTGTGTCTGTGTTTACGTGTGTATGTATGTATGTATGTAATTGATGCATGTAATTGATGTAGGTATGTATGTATGTATGTATGTTATTAATGTATGTACGTATGTATATATGTATGTGTGTGTCTGTGTTTATGTATGTATGTATGTATGTATGTATGTATGTATGCATGTATGTATGTATGTATGCAGGTATGCATGTATGCATGTATGCATGTATGCATGTATGCATGCATGTACGCATGTATGTATGCATGTATGTATGCATGTATGTATGTAATGTATGTAATGTATGTAATGTATGTATGTAATGTATGTATATAATTAATGTTTGTAAATAATGTATGTATTTAATGTATGTAATTAATGTATGTTATTAATGAATGTAATTAATGTATGTAATTGATGTATGTAATTGATGTATGTAATTGATGTATGTAATTGATGTATGTAATTGGTGCATGTAATTGATGTATGTAATTAATGTATGTATTTAATGTATGTATTTAATGTATGTATTTAATGTATATATGTATGTATGTATGTATGTGTGTGTCTGTGTTTATGTATGTATGTATGTATGTATGTATGCAGGTATGCATGTATGCATGTATGCAGGTATGCATGTATGCATGTATGCAAGTATGCATGTATGCACGTATGCATATATGCATGTATGCATGTATGCATGTATCAATGTATGCATGTATCAATGTATGCATGTATGCATGTATGCATGTTTGCATGTATGCATGTATGCATGTATGCATGTATGCATGTATGCATGTATGCATGCATGTACGCATGTATGTATGCATGTATGTATGCATGTATGTATGTATGTAATGTATGTATGTATGCATGCATGTATGTATGTATGTATGTAATGTATGTATGTAATGTATGTATGTAATGTATGTATATAATTAATGTATGTAATTAATGTAAATAATGTATGTATTTAATGTATGTAATTAATGCATGTTATGAATGAATGTAATTAATGTATGTAATTGGTGCATGTAATTGATGTATGTAATTAATGTATGTAATTAATGTATGTATTTAATGTGTGTATTTAATGTATATATGTATGTATGTATGTATGTATGCATGTATGTATGTATGTGTAATTAATGTAATTAATGTAATTAATGTAATTCAATGTCATTTACTGTAATTAATGTAATTTAATGTGTCTATGTATCTATGTATCTATGCATTTATCTATCCATGTATCTATGTATCTTTGTATGTATGTACGTATTTATGTACTTGTACTTATATTTATATCATATTTATACTTCGTACATACATAAGGTTTATGATATAATATATATAATTATATATAACGAAAAAAAATGTAAAATGAAATGCTAGTACTTTATATATACATATATAGATAGATAGATAAAAAAAAATATATATATGTATAAGTAGTAAAGAAATAAATGAATCAATTACTTAAGTAATATAGAAATAAACAAATATGCAAATGTAAATATAGAAATATGTAAATAAAAAATAGAAACAAATCTAAAACATACATGTATATATAATATAAATCTATAAATATATCAATATAAATATAAATGTATAAATATTTAAATACATAAAAATAAATATAATATATATATATATATATATAAAAATAAATAAAGATATGCATATGCGTAAATATAAATATATCTATCTCTTTATAACTTTAGATATTCGAATATAATATAAACAATGTATCATCATACAATATAATAGAGTGTAACATAATTTAATAGTACATTATAAAAGACAATGTAATATATTACAATATGTTATATTGTATATACAATATATGATATATGTTAGACAATATATAATATATATACAGTAATATATATGATATTGTAAGTTGCATGTCCGTACAACTTGGTTCATCCAGCCTTTTGAACATGTGTTTTACCCCATTGGCGAGTTTCCCACTTTACCCCCTAGGGAAGGGAACTTGTGCCAAGACGTGGCTTCGCTGTGCTCTGAAAAGACCTTCGCTTGCTGATTGTCGCTGTGATAGTTTGTGCAGGTGCAGCCAGGTGTACTTGACCATTTGATTGTGTACTTTCCATATGTATATATATATATATTGTATATCATGTAAACAAAAAAGTGTACAATATGGAATCTATGTAATGTTATATATACATAATATTATAATGTATAGTGTATACGGATATATATATATGTATATATATATATATAAGAGATATGATCTTTTCCCTTGAAATCTCTCCATTGCCTTTTACCGCCCACCTCCAGGTGAAGCACTGCAGGGCCATGATCCAGGCCTCCGTGGAGCTCAGCACGGCGTTGAGGGTCACCCCATTGGGCCGCAGCGCGAAGCGCTGGAAGGCACTGATGGCCCGAATGGCCCTGGGCCACTGGTGGCATTTTTCGTAGGCGCTGGTCAGGGCCTGGGAGTTCAACCACTGGAACTGGGACTTCAGTTGGGAAAATGGATTGAGGACCACTGGAAAATAGCTCACCCATCTGCGACCGGTCTTGAATGCTGTCTTATAAAAAAGGATTGAGAGACAGTTTGAGCAAAATGGGTTGCCCACATACATGGATTGAGCAACATTGTCCATGGCTGACTTTCGGTGAAAATTCCTCCACACTACGATTCTGGTGGGTATCCATCCGTTGGGATGTCAGCTTTACTCAATTTTACTCATTCATCTAGGCTCAAGAGTGTCATAGATCTTGGGTGGATTCCTGTACTGTGACTGTTCAAATCATGCAAAAAAAAACTGAAACTCCACCGAGCTTACATTGCAGCTCACCACATTTTGCTTCAGTACTTGTGTCCTCATGGCAACAAAGAAGTGCTGGGCCAGCTGCCATTTGCCAGACTTTTCCGCAGCACTGATGGCAGCATGGTAGCTGATGCTGTTGGGCCGCAGCTTTTTCCGGCTCATCACGTGGAAGAAGTGGAGACTCCACTGCCACTGCAAACCCTTCTCGAAGGAGCTGAGCAGAGCACTGTAGCAAATGACGTCCGGAACTAGCTGGGACATCTCCATCTGATGAAAGGCAGCCATGGAAAACTGCCACTGGAAGCCTTTCTCAAAGGAACTGATCAGCGCACTGTAGCAAATGATGTTGGCTCTCACCCTTTGCTCCTGCAACTCTTGAAACAGCTCCATGGATTTTTGCCACCTCGAAGTGCGTTCGCAGCAGCTGATAATGGACGCAAAACACACCACGTCCACCAACAACGAAGGTCTTCCACAGAGATTCGCAAAGACCTGAAAGGCGTGGTGCCAATGACTGGCCTTGCCCCAGGCAGCCATCAGAATGCTATAACTTGCCAGGTTGGGCTCTGAAGCTGCTATCCGCATGTTGGAGAAGAGGCGCAGAGCCAGCAGCCACTGGGAGCCTCAAGCGTAGCCATGAGGCAAGTTGCGTTCAAGATGTAAACCGTGCCTATGGATGCCTATGGATCAAAACCCATGTATTTAACTGTTTTTCTCGGCAGGGCGCACATCCACAACGTTGGTGTTCCACAGGCTTAAACACACCATCCGGGGTTACCCCGGCTGGCGAGCCACCATGCGTAAATTTCACGCAAGCATGGCTTGGTCAAAAGGTCTCTATCCACGAACCACAAATGACAATGCGATACTTTTGGAGCACTCAACCATCCAACTTTCGGGACCCCAGGGCCTTGGCCCAAAAAAATTGCACCCATGATGGCCCATACCCAAGTTCCTGTGACGAGAGACCTTTCTCACATGCACTCATGGCCATGTTGTAATCCCTCACGGACCCATCAGCCCGCAAAGTCCATAAGGCCTGTGGCCAATCATCAGCCACCATCGCCATGAGCGACGGAGAGTGACCAGGGGCCAAGGCTGCGGCATCGGTCAAGATTTAAGGTTCCAAACACCGATTCTGGCCATTTTGAGAACCATTTGATCTCGTCCAAGAGTTGGTGAATCAATGGTTTACACATATTTACATTTTTTAACACATGTCCGCCCCCATTACGTCCGATTAGGTCCCCCATTCTCCATCCCGGAGTGGGTTTCTCTGGGTTTCTCAATGGCCAGGTCTGAGTCCTCAGACCACCACAGCAAGGAGTTTCACCTGCGGAACCCGGCGGAGTTCAGATATTCATAAGTTGCCAAACCAAAATCACTCGGCAAGCCGATTGGGCCGATTCTCATTTGCCGTTTTCATTCTGGGCTCTCTTGTCACCCAACTATCACCTGCACCCTGAAAGATCGAAGCCGAGCCCAAAAATGTCGCCATGTCCACCCGCCAAAAAATATCTTCCCAAGTCCAAGTCTGCGTTCCTACTTCACAAACCCAAAAGATATTGACAACCAAAAAACCAGTCAGAATCACTTAGCCTGAACCGTAAACTTCATCTTGACATAGTGGGTCTGGGTCAAAGTCCAATCTCCCAAAAATGGATGCAGCCATTTGTGGCTTCAGAATGCCCTAACCCTGTCGTGCTGCCGCGCTGCCGCGCCTGTGCCGCTTTGGCTCCCCTCTCCGCAGCCATCAGCGCAGCGGACACCAGAGGGGGCGCCAGCAACTGAAGGCAGCTGGAGCCCAGTAGCCCAACCATGCCCAGCAGGAGCCTAGGAAGGTAGCTTCACCCCTTGGGGGAAGGATGCCATGGGATGCCATGGGATGCCATGGGATGCCATAATTAGGACTTAGGTGCTTCAGCAACAAATGAAAATACCATCGCACGCTTTTTTATGGATTGCGAACTAAGAGCAAGCATGGGATATTCTATATGTACGGACTGAGGCTCCCGGCCACCTCCTTTCAGCATCTGGTAGAATCTGCCAGACCTGCCGCCCTGATACCGCAGATCTGGCGTGCCTCGACGGTAAGCTAGCGCTGGGAACACTGCTAATATGGGTTTTGAGGTGGGTCAATCTTCCCAACCAGAGTTGAGTCATGTTCAATTGCAGACTCAGTGAATCATCCAGTCCTGCGATGATCTATCTGCTTTTCCCTAGATATATGTATATATGTTTATAGTAAACCATCTTGAATTAGTTAATTCCCCGTGTGTTTTGGATCCATAGTTTGAATATGTTTGAATCTCCAGCCAGGCGCTCCATCTCCACACCCAATCCCGCCTCGACCTGGACTGAGTCCCTGAGAGACCGGAGATGGATGAGGGGTCAATTCACATTTCTTCCAAGTCAGGCAATGAAAATGGTTTAAGGCTGTGAAATGAAATCTTGCTCTTCCTGCACTTCACTGTCCCTCCAGTGTCCCTGCAGCTCTCTAAAACAGATCCTCCTAAATGTTCCATGAATTTTCATAGTTTGATATATTTTGGGCGTTTCCAACAACTTGTGAAGCCCCCCGGCCCCCAAATTCATCCAACATCCACCATCATCTACCCTTTCTATCCCTGGCCTGGCCCGGAAGGAACTGCATGGGGAAGCACATGGCAGCCACCTGCCGTCATGTTGTCCGTGTTGTCTCCATGATCTCAAACCTTCGTTGCCCTCGGGAATTTGGCGACTCGACAGGAATTTTCCCGTTTGGGGTTGTGCAAGTTGAAATCTATTGAAGGACAACAAAAGAGCAAAACCATATCTTTTGTTGAGCGCATTAGCTAATCAGTTGGTTTTCAGCAACTTACAACCCAGCATACAGTATACCTCAATCGAAATGTGAAATTGATGAATTATTGCTGCATTACTCTTCCTATCTCTTCGTTTTGCTCACTGGCCCCTCAAGGTCCTCCCCTTCGGTACCTACAAAGAACGTGGACGGCTTTGTTCTCGGCGCCCTCCATGCGATCAGCACCAGGAGGGTCATCAAGGTAGCCCTGGCCGAGGTCGTTTGCATCGCTCATGGCAGGAATGCTGCTCCAGTTCTGGTGAAATTTATGGTAATCAAACATGGCTAGCTGGAAAATCCCTTGCAAGGGAGCACTAAAAATGGAAAATCATCCATAAATGGGGGATTTCCATTGCCGTGTTTGATTGCCAGAGAGAGGGCATTATATCATATCCGTTTCTTTTGGTCGTTTTTGTGGAGTGATTCGGAGGAAAGAGCTATGCTGAAGAAGTGTAACAGCGTGAAAGCTCCTCGGGATGCAGTGATGATACAACCTACCATCCAGTTGCTGACTCTTGGAACAGTAAAAGTATAGAACGGCTACTGATTCTCCACATAGCTGGAATTTTGACAATTTCACAATGAAATGATGGTTGGATTCACCGTGCATTTACCATTCCGCAGTGATGATCACTGATTCGGACCGGGTCTGGGTGGAATCTTCGGAGAATCTCCCGGCCTCCACAGCCGGGAACTTTGCCGACTCGAGCGCCAAACCTTCGAGGGTTTCACCTCCTGGCGCCCGCCATGGCAAGCCGTGGCGGTGTGGGGCGCTGAAGTATATTCAGGATGGTATAGTTAATTATGGATTCAATCATTTGAAATATATATATATATATATTGTGAGTGATCTCGAGTATCACCTTGATCGTGTAGTAGGGGTAAACAGTCTCAAAGTTCAAGCAGCAAACAGCGGTCAGCGACTCATGTTTTCCTCTTGCGATGGTACAGCGGGTATTAAGCCTTCAGGCCCGGTCTTGAGCCATGCAGCGGGGAATGGATGATTAGAGTAGGGATGTCCCAGCTGATGACATGTACGCTGATCCTATGGTGGCACCTGACTTGCATACTTCTCACACCCCCCATGCTTGGCTTATCGCGTATTGCCAGGCACAGGAGCATACGTCAGGGTTAAGAATTTCGCCACAATTCGAATTCAGTTCTGCACCGTGCAAAACTGATTGGTAATGTAAGTCCTTCCGAATTCGGCAGATGTGAAACACGGATCTATTCCCTTCCTCAGCGCTGTACACAAAATCGATCACCCCCGCGGGATCTGTGACGACGCCGAAAGGCAGACATCACGTCACCGTTGATTAAAATCGTTGACCACAGCATTCACCAACGTAGCCGAATGACATGCGCTGGATCGCGCTATTCCCGGCGCCGCCGAATGGCCTACACCGGTTCTGGGCCGGTTTTCGACACAGCACTAACTAAGGAAAATCTTGGGCTCACATAACTGAGGCCGCCTACCTCAGCTCATAGTTGAAAGTTCGCCCATGCATGGAAGTCATCGTGCGTAACCTCACATGCAATAGCTTCAAAATTCGAATCAGGATCACCAGACGCAACACAAACGGCTTGAACGACGTTCGATCGCCACACATCAAGGTCCTGACATTTCGGCCATGGCTTAATGGAGATCTTCTCATGCTCTTTTCTCGATATACGAGTAATACAATCTTTCACATCTTGTCCCTGATCATTGGAACCAATGCTTCCATCTTGGCCATTTCGTTGGTCCCAGAGTCCAGGAGGATTATCAGGCACAGGATCTAGAACTTCATTGTTCGTCCCTTTCAACGTCTCCTGTCCCTCTTTCACCTGTTGCACCCAACTCTGGTACTCTTTCATCTCATCGTAGTGACGTTAATTGAGCACGGGCTTCAGCCTGTCGAAACTTTTCTCGAAGATCGTCGGCTTCGCTGGTGGTCTGTCCATTGCCACCGAAAGTCGCAGGAGGTGGTAGTAGAGATAGTTCATGACTGCGATTGATGGAAGGTGCTTTTGGGGTTCCTCCCACAGCCGACCCTGGTAATACAAAAGAAGGTGTCTTCGCCTTTGGCAATGATATCATTGGGCAGAGTGTTGTAGGTGGAACCGATGATGGCGATGCTGGTACCGGAGTCGCCGGAGCGGCACCAGATGACGAAGCCGTTCTGGATGCCAACTTCCGATTAGCCTCTTGCAGCTCCACATAGAGAGTTGCATTCTTCCTGACCACTTCGTCACGCTCTTTAGCCACCATCGTATGCATCTTCCTCCACCTATCTGCTTCATCCTCTTCCACGTTGAGCAAGGCCTGAGTCAACTTGGGGTTGGATTCTATGCCTTCTTGGAGTTTCTTGATCTCGATGTTCGCCTTCCGTAAGATCTTCAATCACCTTCACGTTCACGTCATCATCATGACCTCTGGCACGAGCACGAATCTGTTCTGCAATCCTCGACCGCAGGTTGGCTGTTGATGTCGATCAAGGTGACATTCTCGTCCTTGAGCTCGTCTATGACGTTTTCCAAGCTCAATTCCCTGTCAATTTGCTACTGCCTTTCCACATATGCTGAATCCTTCTTGTCGGCCAGCTCTCTTTCATATCTTTCAAGGTAGAACTCCTTCTCGGCGACCTCGACTTCGTTCATTTCCTTCAGCTGACGTATCTGAAACTTCAAATCATCAGCGTCCATCTCACTCAACAAGGCTTGATGTCCAGAATCGTGTACCACCATCTTGATTCGTTCACCCTGTTCTTTGATACGACGATCCTTTTGCTCGATGATTTCATCCTTCTTCGCCAGGCTCTCCGAAAGCTCATTGATGGCCATTTGCATCTCTGCCGCACGCTCATCACAAAGTGCTACAGCTTGTCGTCCATGTTCCATGACCATCTCATTGTTCATAGTCAGTTCCTGAGAGTTCGCCTCCAGCATCATCGCCAGAGGCTCCATCTCTTCCTTGTTCGCCTTTTCCCTGTCGTTGACATACTGTGCATGCCTCACGAAGTTGTAATCCACTTTGCCGGAACTCCGCAGCCGCTGTCTCCGATTGCTCATGTTGTTCACGGATCTGACGGACCGCATTCTCCAGTTCAGTGTGGCAGCGTTCCCTCATCGCAATGCTCTCCTGAATGATGTGGGCTGTGCCTAGTTCTCCACGTTTCCCAAGCTCAATGATTCTCATCCATCAGGTGTGCCTCAGCGAGTGCTTGGGATTGCTCATTCAGCATATTGTGTGCATTGACAAGGGAAGCCCTCATGTACTCCATTTCCGTATTGACATGTTCCTGATATTCCTCATGGTGTTGATGAGAATAGACCTCTACATTGTGAATCATCTGATCACGATGACTGAGAGCATCTTGAAACAGTTTCAACCTGCCCTCCAGTTCAGTCCTTGCTTGTTCACTTCGATCCAGCTTCGCATTGCTATGTTATTGTAGCTGACGTCGAAGTCGAAATTCTCCCTCATTCCTCGACGCACTGCCCGAAGGTTTCCGCTTAGATGAAATCGCTGAACGGCCGGCCCCATCTTCGCGCGTGACCACGTCCGAAGGTACGAGGCCACTGGAATCCCCAATAGCAGTTGACGGTCGCCGAAATGGCTGGGATCTTGCTGATGTCGATCGTCTGGCACTTCCTCTGTTCGACATGATGTTGCTCACCACGGTGAAGCTGCTTGTGGATGCGCCACTTCCAGGTGCTACATATGACACTGTACCACTGTACCACCACCACCGCTCTCCATGGACCCCAGCGTGTCATTGATTGCCGCCGGTGCCGCCGCAAAGGAGTAGTGAGTCTCATTGCTGCTTGACTGGGTTTCTGAGACATTGCTCTGGCCTCACTGCAATGGGTCACTTCCGTTTACCACAGTCCAACGACTTGTAGTAGGTCAAGTAGAGCAGGATGCCCAAGTCAATGTCCGAGCCAACGATCGATTCGCCCACCGGAGTGGGGGAAGCAACAAACCAGGTAGGTGCACTCTTCAGACAACTTGCCGTCGGACTCTTCCGCGTTGTAGAACCACCGTACGCCCTGGGTAGAGCGTACGGCTGATAACCTGTGAGTGATCTCGAGTATCACCTTGATCGTGTAGTAGGGGTAATCAGTCTCAAAGTTCTCAAGCAGTCAGCGACTCATGTTTTCCTCTTGCGATGGAACAGCGGGTATTAAGCCTTCAGGCCCGGTCTTGAGCCATGCAGCGGGGAATGGATGATTAGAGATGTCCCAGCTGATGGCATGTACGCTGATCCTATGGTGGCACCTGACTTGCATACTTCTCACATATACTGCATTTATTTATTTAATTTAATGTCATCTATTTATTTGGTTATGTATTCATTTATACATAATTATACATATCGTATGTATGTATATATATATACATTATGCAGTGGGACAGTTTGAATACGCAATCTGGATCATTTGTATTGATATACTTCTGAAGTCAATCTCAACACGGCATTGTTGGGTCAAGTTCACGCATTTGCCCAGATGAATCATCGTTGGGGCACCATATGTAGATTGGCTGAGCCTTCCATAGATGATCAGATGATCTTCTGATTAGAATCTTCGATGAATTTGGGATGCTTGGGGAACAAGTTCCCCTGCCAAATCTTGGCATGATAGTAGTAGAACTGCGGATGATGCCACATGCATCTGCAACATGGAATTATGGTGTCTTTGTTTTGCAAGTAGGGATATGCCAAGGGCATTCCACATCTATCTCTCTACCATGTTTCTATGCAAGTGATACCTAGCTGTGACCCTCAACAAAAAGGTCGTCTTGTGACCCATTGAAAACGACACTTCAAACGTTTTCACAACTTGTTTCATGAACATGAATTCAATAGCATAATAAACAGTAGTAAACCCAATCGTAAGCCGATCCCGCTAATATTAAACACGCCCCTGAAACATATTTGAGACCATTTAAGTAGGTGGTGTTAGATTCTGTTAAATCTCTTAGGGCATGGGATTAATCATTCTCAAATGGTAGTTGTTTATCTTGGATTTGCTGAAACGGAAGGCCACGAAACATCAGAAAATATTCCCTTCCCAGCCTTAATCGACTCCCCAAGTAGAGGATTTCCCATCTTGAGCAAATCCAGGTAGCCTTGGGTGTTTTCCCCACCGTCCTTGGCCACTGCCACAGAGCCGCCCGCGATCAGAAGCAAGGCGCCTGAAGTGCCGTGTGCGAAATGCCGGGGCAAGGCACTGGGGTGGAACATTGGGGGAAGTGGGCTCTGAACATAGGGGATTTAATGATGAATGAATGGGATATCATTGGTATGAATGGGGACCATATTGGAAATTAGATTGAACAGGAATGATTTCACCAACCTGGGAAAGGGATGAAATGGGGGTTCCCCATACTAATTGCTAAGCATCATTTATGACAGGATCCGTTCGTAGACAAATGTCGCAGGGATACACAAGGAAGGGGGAACAAAAGCACATGAGAATTCAAAATACGGACATGAACAATGAATTGTGATTGCAAAACTGGAGGTTCAACCCATAGAGATGTCAGCACATTCGTCAGTATGCATCATCCAACCAAGAAACGTGAAAAGGATTGAAAGGGTTGAAAAGGGTTGAAAAGGGTTGAAACGCATTGAAACAGATTGAATATGTCCAAAACCATCCAAAAACACCAATGACGGCAAGAGGACGTTTGGAGGTTTTACTGTGTCCCTGAAAGGAATACCGTCCCTTGACCCCTACCTTGTGTCAAGCCTTGAGACGTTGGTCTCTATTGGGATTATAAGAGCTTCACAGCCAAGGTGCAGATTGCCACAGAACGCTGTGTGTAAAAGGGCGACATGTGGAACAAGTCCAACAGAATTTCGATGACAATAAGCACCTCATCAACGCATCCATGGTCAAGTTACATGGGATTAATGGAGTATGGTCCATCAAGCATCATTAGAGATTTTTTAAATAGTGGTCTAGATTACAGTAACCCTGCGTATTAATAGGGGATGAATCCCGCAATATGATTAGTGACTCTGAGCTATGGCACATATTATGTCAGACCCTTGATGTCACTTGAATAGAATCAAATAAACCCCTGCGCATCAATTGAAGGTGCAGAATGGTTGATCCTTGGAGCAAGTATTGTATCCATTGCACTACCAGGGATCAAAGCAGTTGAAGAGCTATAGCACCGACAAGAGCAACTAGTGTAAGTGGTGTAGCTGTTTGAACATGGTGAAATTGCGATGTCTCAGACAAGACCAAGTGCAACCCAGACACAATGACGATCCACTCCTCAGCCGACAAACGACCATCGGACCATCCAATTCCCTGCTCCAGCTCCCAACTGAAGCCTGAAACCCCCCAAGATTACACGGCCCCGCAAAAATCGATTCGCTAATAAACCCTGAGTAGTGTGTGTTGGTGGTTAATAAGTCCTTTATAAACCCAAAGATGATTTGGGTGGAGTTGTCCCCCTCTCTTCCATCAGTTCCCCATAATCTGCTTGGTTTTATACCTTATCTCCCAACATGTCCGCCTAAAATGGTTGGTTTTAATGCCATTCTATCGTCTTATACCCACTATTCCCTGATAAAATACTTGCTTTTATATTGCTCTATATATATATATGTATATAATTGTATACATATTCAAAAACCCCATGCAGTCCCCCATAGGTTTTTGTTTGACCCCTGAACTTCCTTGCAAGGCTTCCAGTTTATTGGAATGCTTCACCTCCAACTGGGTCTGCAGAAAGCTGTAGAGGTCGTTGAGCACCGCCAGGCGCTGATCCAAAATCTCCACCTGATGGACGATGATGGTTACCGTGTGTGCCTGGAAACCCGACAAGAAAATGGTGATTGATGTGGATTGATACCACCAATAATATATCATATGTGTACGGATGTAACAAGTATAGTTTGGGGTTATAAATATGTGCTATCCATAAATTGTTCATATCAATAAAAGTGGGTTTACCCAATAGTAGATGGTGTTTGTTTTTTGCCTCCAAATGGGAATGATGGTGCAAGGCCATAGGTGGGTTATATACATATATTATATATATATACCTAGCTGCTACTTGGACGTCTTTGGCATTGATTTCACTGCTTTCGGATTGGGGTACCATCAAACTTATCAAGATTTGTAGGGAAATCTGTGCTGATCTGTTTGAGGTGGTGTTACATATCACTCAAGAAAAATGGAAAATCGTGAAGTCAAGTCCAGTTCAAGCTCCAGAAATCACAGCAATTGCCTCCCATCAAACTCGGTGTTGAACCATGTTGAAGCGCTCAGGGTCCCCACCCGCTTGCCAACTTCCAGGTACTTCCTGCAGGCTTCGTACTGCCTGAGGGACATGGACTGGTGTTCTCATGGGAAGATCATCTAAATTCATCCATGGGGACATAGAACCGACGTTGTTGGGAACCTGTGACTCCATCAGTGACACCAAGGGACCGGAAACGCGAACTGGGCGAACTGAGATTTCCAACCGGCATGCCCCATACGAACAATGTAATCTCAGCCCTCAAACTGCTACTGAGTGGGGCAATCATCTAGATTTGCCAGAGCCCACAGTCCTTGGATTCAAAGTGACACCAAGACTCTGAGTTTAATCTCTCTATTTCTGTCTCTACACACATCTCAATATCGTGAAGTGTACCCTTCGCCCTTACCCGAATCACCCAGGATGCACCCAGCTGCGCATCAAACCGGTCATGCTCCCACAGAATCTCGGGCGTTCCCAGCATGTCTGTCTGCAGCGTCAGGGAGCACTTGGTGACAAAAATGGCACCCATCTGCCTCCGGTGAAAAGGAACGACTGTGAGAGGTACCCTCTGGTAAACGTTTACATAACTATGGAAAATCACCATGCTATTAATGGGAAAACTCACTATAAATGGCCATGCTCAATAGCTATGTTACATATGTTAAATTACCAGAGGGTACCCCGTTAATGATGCTAATGCTTCAGAGGGTGCAACTCCCTTTGCCAAGACAAAGTCGCATGTGGACATCGCATGAATCAAAATCGCTGGACACTTGAAACGGCAATAAGAAACAAATGTGATCATGTGGAGAGTGGCACGACCAGTGTCTTGCCTACACCCCTCAATTTGTTGACTATTGAAAAATATCCAAGAATGTCCAAGTTTTTGGCAATATCATCAATTATGGATCAATATGTCATCCATGCAATACTTGACTAACCATTCGTAATGATCAATTTGCATGTATCAACCATTAACAGTTTATTAACCGTTCAGTGCCCAATTTACACTTATTAATCATTAAGATTCATTAAACATGTTGTGTAACTGTTGATCCAAGACCGCAAGATCTTCCAGCGAGACTTCACCCATCCCACTGGATGGAAATCAGCATTTTTGTTGAAAAAATGTTCCCTGAAACCACAAGAAAATCCTTAGTATTCATTCTCTGAAAAAAAACGAAACTATTTCATTTGATTATTCGAAGATTTAAGAAACCCCAAGAAACTTCCAAAGAAACCCTGGATATTGAAAAGTCCTAATAATACCCCTGAACCCCCAATGAAGCCAGCCACATCTTCACCAATTTCTCATCCATGTCGAACGTCCCATACTGCGCCAAGGCTTCCGGGATGGGTTTCGCCTGGTGGTGTGTGGGGTGGATGTCGTTCGCCTTCATGATTTTTACATATTTTTAATCATCAATAATTACATATGATGACGCATCTATCTATGATAATGCAGCATAATCATACGATGATCACATTGCATATTTTTAGCATATCTATATACTAGGTGTACATTATATGTATATATATATATATATGCACATGTCACATTTGCTAGAAACAGACGAGAACCATGCGTTAATTTAAAGATGCAGGAAAAAACCGGTCGACCAAGCCATGGTTTCCCACCTTCTCGATGCTGGCATCCACGATGGTCTCAAAGACCGCCAGCTTCACGCTTTGAGCAAAGGCGTAGCCTTGAATTCCAAGCGCAGCTTCCGGGGTGGTGGGCGAAGTGGTTCGCAACTGGGTACGCCCTGGTGGAATACGCATACGTGCATATATATATATAAATGAATAACCTCATCTGCATGGCCAATCTTAGATACACTGCAAGTATGTATACATACCTGTATATACATATAAAATATAAATATATACTGTAATATATATATATATATATTATATTAGATATATATATATATATTGAAGTTTAAATATATTATATATCATATGTCTTTTGCTGTATTAAATATAATATGTTATATGTGTTTAATACATTATATATTTAATATATTATATATGTTCAATATATTATTTATATAATATATTAAATACATACAATTTATTTTATATATATAATAATTCGTATATTATATAAATATATTATCTTAAATATATCATTTAAATATAATATTTTATATCTTGTATTTTTTGTATATATATAATATATAGTATCTATTTTATATACTATATATATATATTTTATATACTATATATATATTATATATATATATATGTTAAAAACATTATATACAAATTTTATTATTTATATTATTAATTAAATATATTATACATTATACATGCTTCATTTGTTATATATTGTAAAATGACTATATGTATATATATATTATATTTTAAATATTTTTACATTATATATTATTTATATCATTTGTATTTTATAATATATATATATATATATTATTGTGTATATATATATATAATCAATATAATATATATATATATTTATATTTATATACTATATATATATATTATCGAAGGAAGTTTAGAAGTCAAACTTCCGACATTATGGACAGATGAAAAGCAGAGCAGGGAAGAGGCAGAGAGAAGAGAAAGATTAGAAGATAGAAGAGTAGAAGAGAAAGAGTTAGAAGAGAGAAAGATTAGAAGAAAGAAAGTAGAAGAGAAAGAGTCAAAGAAAGAAGACGCAGATGCGCGAAAAGGTAGGAAAGTCGCGAAACACTGTGTTTTTCCAATGATTTGTGGCTCCGGAGGGTCGAAAAGTAGGCTCGCTAAAGCGGCGGGTGCGGAGCCAGCTGGCCAGACGAGAGATGAAAAATTGCACGCCGTTGTGGCGCGAAGCACATTTCGAAGTGAAAATGTACATAACACACCATTCTCGGACCACTTTTGGCAGTTGAGATGTCGAAAAAGTGCACGCCGTTGTGGCGCGAAGCACATTTCCAAGTCAAAATGTACAAAACACCTCAGTGTCGGACGACTTTTGGAAGTTGAGATGTCGAAAAAGTGCACGCCGTTGTGGCGCAAAGCACATTTCCAAGTCAAAATGTACAAAACACCTCAGTGTCCGACGACTTTTGGAAGTTGAGATGTCGAAAAAGTGCACGCCGTTGTGGCGCGAAGCACATTTCCAAGTCAAAATGTACAAAACACCTCAGTGTCGGACGACTTTTGGACGTTGAGATGTCGAAAAAGTGCACGCCGTTGTGGCGCGAAGTTATATATATATATATATTATATATATATTATATATATATACTATATTATATATATATATAAATATTATATATACACTATATATATATACTATATATATATAATATATTGAATATATACTGCAATTGCATTGCCACTGATGGCCAAGAATCCACCTCACCTAACAGAATAGCCTCCGGAAACTCAACGAGCGGCTGTAAGCCAAGGCTTCATCGCCCGAACAGGTGGCCAGGACGATGTGGTCACCACCTGGCTCCGGTCATGGCCGGATTGTCCAGCTAGGTTTAATGACACCAGAGCCTGGGAAACTCCGAATCAATGGTTGAAGATCTTTGTAGATGATAGATTCGATAGATAATTAATGATAAATGAGTGTCAATGAATGTAAGTTATTTACATTGGTTAATGGAGTTGTGACTGGGAAAACACTAAGGCTAAGGTCTTTAGGGTCTCTAGATCATTATTTTGAAGGAGAAACTGGCAGCACGAGTGACATCCATGGATGCAACACCAGGGCTTCACCGTGGGTTGTTTACCCTCCTCCTCCTCCCCCTCCTCATCATCATCATCACCATGGTTGCTGCCAATCATTCAATTTCTGTATGCCACTGTGATTCAAGCTTTTGTGTCCCCAACTATAGTTGCAACTATATACAAGATTCCATGGGTTGAAATCTGTTTTTCCGCACTTTCTCTTGAGGCCATAAATGTTTATCATCATGTTCCCTATGAAAATAGCCCAGCAATTTGAGTAAATGGGTCAAAACCCGCAAAATACCACTGGTTCTTTGCACTTCTATCCCCACGATACTTCCAAGCTTCCATTGTGCCGTCGTTATCATGTTCACATTGGCTTACTATGATTTACAGTAACTATCTCATCAATGCATTTCTCATCAATATCTCCAAAATGTGCCCAAATATATCCTCAACATACCACTAGCCCCCAATATTTAATCCGACAAAAAATGCCATTCACCTCAGGTAACTTCACCATTTCCATCATCCAAACCCACAACGAACCCACGGCAGGGCACTCAGTTGCGGCGCCGGCGCCGGCCGTCGAGGCGCCGAAGTCCCCGCTAGGTCGGCGTCGGAGGTCAGGTGCTCCTACCCGGGAGAGATTGCTGGTGATCATAGAGATATGCGGACCATCCGGTATGGGCTTAGCTTAAAATGGGAATATCTCAATTCTATGGCAAATTTGAATAGGACAAAGATAAAGCCTCGAATTTGAAAGTGACCTTTCAGGCAAAGCCATATTTTTTTGGTCATCCATCAAGTTACATAGGAAAAATGATTCTTTTTTGATTAAATGAGAGTATGTAAAGGTTTGATGGATGGAATCAACGGGGTAACCCCTATATGGCCCTCGTAAGTTTCATGGGAATCAAAACATAATGAGTATATAGATAAACTCCTACAGTATCAATGGATTGATGACCCTTCCCCAATATGCAAATATAATTTGTTTCTTGACCATGGCACGGGTTTTAAACCACTTACAAACATCCAAGTACTGTATATTTCTTAGCCATTGCAACCGTCATAAGTTGGGATATAACCCCTAGGCCTTATTACGGGCGGTCCTTTGCTTACAGGGTTAATAGCCCGTAAAAATGGGATGATTGAGAAAACGACCCCCTCCTCTGGTTGGGGATGGTTGGATTGGCAATGTGGACCACGCATGCAGTGATCAACCATCAAAACCAGGAACAGAATCATGGAAAATTGGATCTGCAACCCACACGAACGGAAAATCATGGGCCAAGTATTCGATCTTTGTGGAAGTATGTTCACTCCGCCACGGTTTCTGGATTCTATATGGCTAGGTAATTGACTTGAGGTGAAACTCTGGCAATATGAGCACCGACCTGGCCATCCCAAAATATCAGCAGATCACCATACCAGGTAGGATGGCTGCATCACGGTTAAATCTCTGTGGATTCTTGGGATAGTTCAATCTCAGAACCTACTCATAAACCAAAGAACTATATATATATATAAATGGGTGATGGGGGTTGAACCAATGCCGGTTCAATTACAAAATATCATCACCAAGGGATTGTCTTATCCGATCTCCAATTCTCCATCAGTGTCAAAAACCCATGGAAGTTTCCCCGAAGAATGGATTGGTTTTATTGGGGATTCTCACCTCATGGATCATGCCTAATTGTATTATGGTAGCAATACTATCATATCAGTATTCTCGCAACAAACCCCAATGGTGATAATCCAACCACGATCATAGTTATGGTCAAGAAATTCACTCGTAACTTTAATTATAACAATTACAACTATGCCAATTATAATTATAGTAATCACAAGTATAGTTATAATGACATGGCAGTATTACGGAAACAGAAAGATACCTATTATGATAATACAGTTTTATCATTTCCTCAAATCTATAATTTTACTATCATCCCCGATCTGTGTAATTGTATTGAAACATTTAAAAAATAACATGATACTACAGTTTAATAAACGTCTAAAAATCTAGCTATAGCGATTGTATGAAGTTGTAACAACCCGGAAGAACAAAGCGAGGCCTCGCACACGTCTTCCATCGAGAAGGTCATGCTGTCCGTCTCAATATCTTCAGGTGGCAACGTCTCTCCTAGGCGGATACACACACTGGATGAGAATCACCGGCAACAAAAAAAGATACACATGTGTAATGTGTCTCGTCTATCAAACATAAACACATATATATATATATATGGGTATACATTGGTATGTATTGGTATATTGGTATATATTGGTATATATTGGTATATGTGGGTATATATTGGTATATATTGGTATATATTGGTAAATATTGGAATATATTGGAATATATTGGAAAATATTACTATAGATTGTATATATATATATATCTATAGGTATATTATAGTATGTATTGGTATGTATTGGTATATACTGGTAAATATTGGGTTATACTGGTAAATATAGGTATATTATGGTATGTATTGGTATGTATTGGTATGTATTTGTATATATTGGTATATTGGTAAACTGGTATATATATAAATATATGTAAATATATGAATATGTAAATATTGGTATATAGTTGGTATATTTGTAAATATTGGTATATGTAGGTTTTTTATGGTATATATATATATATAGGTATATTATGGTATGTATTGGTATGTATTGGTATATATTGGTACATTGGTAAATATATACATATACAAAAATATATTGGTATATATTGGTATATTGGTATGTATTGGTATATATTGGTATATATTGGTATTTATATGTATGTATTGGTATATATTGGAATATATTGGTATATATTGGTATATGTGGGTATATATTGGTATATATTGGTATATATTGGTAAATATTGGTATATATTGGTATGTATTGGTATATATAGGTATATTATCGTGTGTATTGGTATATATTGGTATATTGGTATATATTGTCAAATATTGGTATATTTGGTCTATATGTATATTATGGTATATTATGGTATGTATTGGTATATATTGGTATATTGGTAAATATATATATATATATATTTAAATATATATATATATTTAGATATATATCTATACATGTGTAAATATATGTATGTATATATATATATATTGGTATAAATTGGTATAAATTGGTAAATATTGATATTTATTGGTATATATGTTGGTATATATTGGTATATAAAGGTATATTATGGTATGTATTGGTATATATTGGTATATTGGTAAATATACATATAAATATATAAATATATTGGCCATATGAAACTGCACATGTATATCTAAAACCATGTATTGAAAGCGGGCCCTTATGTAGACCAAACAATGTTTATGATGCAATCTGCGTGCATGTCAAATTAAGAAATGGGCCACCGAGGCATGATAGCTAGGGGCGCCCCCATGCTTGAAAAGTTACATTGCCAGTTGGCAGATGTTGGTGGATGCTGGTGGAAAAATATGATTTGTAAACGAAAACATGCACCTTCAATTAAAATCCCATTTCTATATGAATCTGCTTGAATCTCTATAAACGTAATACCGTCATCGAAGGAAGTTTAGAAATCAATTTTCCGACAATATGGACAGAAGGAAAAGCAGAGGTAAGAGCAGTCGGAGAAGAGAAAGGGTCAGAAGAGAAGAAATCAGAAGCGAAAGAGTCAGTAGAAAGAAGGCCCAGAGGCACGAAAAGGTAGAAACATCGCGAAACACTGTGTTTTTCCAATGATTTGTAGCTCCGGAGGGTCGAAAAGTAGGCTCGCTACAGCGGCCGGTGCAAAGCCATCTCGTCAGATGAGAAATCAAAAACACTTTTGGAAGTTGAGATATTGAAAAACTGCACACGGCTGTGGCACGAAGCACATGTGGAAGTCAAAATGCACAAAGCGCCTCAGGTTCGGAGCACTTTTGGAAGTTGAGATGTTCAAAAAGTGTACGCCGTTGTGGCGCGAAGCACATTTCGAAGTCAAAAGTGCAAAAAAATGAGGGATACGGAGCACTTTTGGAAGTTGAGATGTTCAAAAAGTGCACGGCGTTAAGGCGCGAAGCATATTTGGAAGTAAAAATGTTAAAAACACCTCAGAGCAATTTTGGAAGTTGAGATGTTCAAAAAGTGCACGCTGTTGTGGCGCGAAGCACATGTTCAAGTCAAAATGGTAACAGCACCGCACATTCGAACAACTTTTGGAACTTGAGATGTTGAAAAAGTGCACTCTGTTGTGGCGCGAAGCACATTTGGAAGTCAAAAAGTGTTAAAGTGACGGTCTCGGACCACTTTTTAGTTAGGATGTGGTTGCATGGCAGGCGCAATGGATTCTGCACCCTGTCAAAAGTGAGTAAAGCGTTCAGTAGACTTTCAAGCGACTTTAGATAGCTGGATCGATAGATGAGGTGGTGAAAAGTTTGACAGATCGATAAATGGATAGATAGAAGGACAGCAAGATAGACCGATTAATGGATGGATCGATGGATCGATGGACGGACAGACTGACGGACGGATGGATGGATAGAGAGATAGGACAGATAGAGACAGATAGAGACAGATCAAGACAGATAGAGACAGATAGGGACAGATAAAGACAGATAGAGACAGATAGAGACAGATAGAGACAGATAGAGACAGATAGAGACAGATAGGGACAGATAGAGACAGATAGAGACAGATAGAGACAGATAGGGACAGATAGAGACAGATAGAGACAGATAGAGACAGATAGAGACAGATAGAGACAGATAGAGACAGATAGGGACAGATAGAGACAGATAGAGACATAGAGAAGCAGAGAAGGAGATAGATCATCGGAGAAATGGATGGACAAAGAGACAAGCAAACAGATAGGCAAAGGTATTGAGAGTGGCAGACAGAGACGAAGAGGGGACAAAGACAGACAATAAAAGACTCAGAGCCTCAATCACCTGTCGCTCCGCTCTGCCAGCCAGGCGTCACAAAAACCAAACCGCTCCTGTAGTTTCCTATCTTTGAAACTTCGGCCACCGCCTTGTGCGGTAGGTAAAACACATCCCAAAATAATCTGTCTGCCATGTTCTATGGATTTTGAAGTTATGCGCGCTACGCCCCACAGTCCCTCACCACAGTCTAAGTGGATTCACCTTACTTATTCTACTTATAACCAGGGATATAACCTATTTAGCGCGTGGGATATAAGTAAGGTAAGTAGGGTAAGTCCAGTCAGAACTGGGGTGAAGTAATTTAAGCCACTTGCTGACTGGGATGAATCGCCAACAATGGGGATATTTTCCCACCAAATCTGGGGGCACCAACAGCATCAGATTGCAAATTTAAGCTGTTGAAATTGGAGACTTAGTCATACTCCTGCAAAATAGGACACATTCGGGGTCGACAACCTACTTACGCTTCCTGGGGTTATAATCCCATCTAAAATTAGATATCTCTACCGTAGTCCCCAATATACTGAACTCCAACAACTTAGCGAAGTCTGTTGGGCATCCCTTCAGCCAAGGCTCCCACGGACTTCCGAATGAGTCGCTTCAAGCGCCGGAGTTCCATGGAGTTAAAGCCCCAGCAGACGATGCAGCCGAAGGCGAAGCAGAAGCACAAACGGCCGTCCTGGGACGACGCCAAATCTCTGGACATGTCTTGTATTTGTACAGAAGAACAAAGCAAACAATGAGGAATAATATAGAGATCAAAGAAAAATATTTATTATATAAATAAATGAATATATGGATTGATTGCCTGAATGAAAAATGAAAATAGGGAATGGCAATCATCAATCACAATCATAACGATGATTCCAACAATATAATATTCATAACAACGATAATAATCACAATAACGAATAACAATCATAATCATTGCTGTAAATCATAATAATCATGATGTCTTTACCTATATAAAATCATCATCATCATCATCACCATCATCATCATCATCCCTTCTCTATAATATTCACTATCGCCACACAACCCTGCTTTGGTCTTGGGTCTAATCATGCTGCGGTCCCAAAACTTTGCTCCAGCCCATGCACACGCTTCACCCAGATTTCCGTCCCAAAACGGCCGGAGAACTTATGAGATGTCATCGCTTCATCACCATATCGACACCATCGTCTTCTGTTACCATATATTGAATGAAAAGAAAGTGCCCCTGAAATCCCATGAGCTACAGAAATTACATGTATATGGATAGATATATATATATATAACAGAACTCAAACTACTCTTGGATTGTCTGTATATGCCGATCTTGGAGGTGGGGGTAGAATACATACATATACCAGTAGTACCGCACAAGGCGGTGGCGGAAGTTTCAAAAATAGGAAACCATAGGAGAGATTGGTTGTTGTGAATCAGGGATGGCAGAGTGAATCATTTTGCTTGAGGTCTCCTCTCTTTCTCTCTTTTTCTCTCTGTTTCTCTCTCTCTCTCTCTCTCTGATTATCTACCTACCTACCTACTGATCTATCTGTCTACCTATCTATCTAAAGTACTGCGAGACTTCCTTCAAAAATGGAAAGTTGAGTGCAGCGCTGACAGCCTCGTACCAATGCGTTTTGCGATTTTTCTACTCCATCTCTCTAAAGTACTGCGCCTGCCACGAAAAATTGATGCCAGGTCATACGAAGTGCTGCACCTGTCACGCAAAATCATCTTAGCAAACCTACAGATCTGATGCTCCAAAATGCAACCCCTCTCAGGAAATGAGCGCCCTGACCTCCTAACATCTCTCATGAGCATGTCTTTTGTACTGCGCCTGCCACGGAAAATGCATCTTTGCAGATCCTCTTCAAAAGTCCCATGCCTGCCATCGTTTTTGGATTTGCTACAAGACCCTCACGTTTTGCTCACTTTCGACAGGATCGACAATCCCTTGCACCTGCCACGCGGAACGACATCTCAACGTCCAAAAGTGGTCCGAACCACTGGTGTTTTTCACACTTTGACTTGGAAATGTGCTTCGCGCCACAACGGCGTGCACTTTTTCGACATCTCAACTTCCAAAAGTGGTCCGATGCTGAAGTGCTTTGTGCATTTTGACTTGGAAATGTGCTTCGCGCCACAACGGCGTGCACTTTTCCGACATCTCAACTTCCAAAAGTGGTCCGAGAATGGTGTGCTTTGTACATTTTCACTTCGAAATGTGCTTCGCGCCACAGCGGCGTGCAATTTTTCATCTCTCATCTGGCCAGCTGGCTCCGCACCCGCCGCTTTAGCGAGCCTACTTTTCGACTCTCCGGAGCCACAAATCATTGGAAAAACACAGTGTTTCGCGACTTTCCTACCTTTTCGCGCATCTGCATCTTCTTTCTTCTGACTCTTTCTCTTCTACTCTTCTCTCTTCTAATCTTTTCTCTTCTCTCTTCCTCTGCCATACTCTGCTTTTCATCTGTCCATATTGTCGGAAGTTTGACTTCTAAACTTCCTTCGGTCATGTATATAATATTATATATACGTATATACATATATCCAGAAGAAAAGAATTCCACCATAGCCATAGATATGGATCTGGATGTGATTTCATTGGGCTTTGCAAAGACATGATATATCCCCAATCTTCACCTATGGAAAAAATAGAATACTATTCATGGATTATACTCCCAGTTGAACTACAGCCCCAAACATGCAGAAAAGGTCTAATTTACCACTAGATTTCAGAATCGGATTTTACGCTATTGGATAATGGATTATAACCCCAATGAAACCAAGCATTGCTGATAAAGATCCCCATAATTATACTGATGATGTGAGATTATGACCCATAATGGTGACAATGTCAGCCCCGGATTCATAAACCCCTGGATTGTTTGATTGGGGCGGTACCATTTTAGTAGCCAATTAATTGCCAATTATCGCTATTTGCGGATACCCCCCTAAATAAAAAACGGGGTGGACATTCATCAGAGGTTGACATCGCTTTTGATTTTGAGAGTCAAACCACAATTGAGCCTGCTAGTTGGACTGTCAATATGTTCAGGAAAAATCGAGTGGCCGGCAACAAACGGAATTTCAATAATCATCTACCTGGTGGTTTTCATGCCAGGAACCAATTAAGCAACCAGTGGGAACAGGCTGTGAATGCAGGAAATCGACACCTGGCACCACCATGCTGCTGGAAAACCTCCAGCTCCAGCACGCAGACGTCGGCGGAGAGGCGCCGCGGCCGGGCACTGGGGAAGGCACCTGCAGTCGTCATGGAAAATGGCGGTGGCAACATGGCTGGCTGGGAAATCCCCGACAAATGGAAGGTTTGATGGGAACATCATCAAACTAGATTGTGGATTTTTCATTGCCACGTTTGATTATCAGATGGCAAATCCGAAAATCATCTACAAACCGGTGTTTGCAAGGGTGAATCATCTACAAATGGCCTAGGAAATAACTTCAAAAAAACTGCAATTCTCAGATGTTCTCAGTACTAGGAAATTATCCTATAGCATTTAAACGGGAAAAAAACCACGGGGGACCTGTTAAATTCTCAGAGGGTATGTAATGGTTGGATTTGTTTCAGCCATTATTGGAACTGGTTGTGATATTTTTCAGATTTGTTTTTGATTTCAGCTGTCGATAATCTTTGTGTCAGAAATGGCAATGAAACGGTTGAAACCACTAACCAAACATATGTATCCCCGAATTATGGTGGCTAAATCCTCATAGCTCTTACATGTTCGTTGTAAACCTCAGTGTATGCATCATCTCTATCATGTGGTTGGGAAACTCTGATTCAAACCCCTTGGCTCGCCATTGCGAGGGCAAACGGATACAAACATGGCTCCCAACAGCAACCTCCATTGACCACCGGATAATATGCTCTTAAAAAACATGACATTTCAAACCCTTGGCGTTTGTCGTACCCTTTTTGGGGGGCGAACCACGTGAGGATAGAAGATAATTTTCTTCCTGCCATGTCTTTATACATCGTTATATCTGTATGTAAATATATACATGTATGTGTATATATATATGTGTGTTTATATTATGTGGATGACGTTTTACATCTTGGATGTTAAATATTATTATATGTATTATATGTGATTTAGATTATAGTATAATATAGTGTAGCCTACGTT